CTTCTTCCTATAGTTCAGCCCCCTGCGAGGCACTCTCGGGCTCCATGGCCATCAAAGACCGTCCGAGACGAAAACTAGCCCTATGAAAGGGGTCGAGAGATCTGGGCCCTCCTCTCCTCCTGCTCGAGCGCCGATTCATCTAGGGATCACCGGAGAGTGAGGGAGCGAAGGGGGTGACGGCCAGCGCATACGATCGAGAAGCCGAGCATCACCATGGGGAAACCGAAAGGTACCGATACCGCTACTCCCTGGACCTCTCCTGGGGTGCGTTCTGACCAGGATTTCGAAGCGAATCCAGCGGTGGCGACGAGGGCCTACCAGCAGGCCCCAAAAAGATGCAAACAGGGGGAGGGTAGAGGTACGAGCGCCTCTTCCTCCTCCGACACCTGGCGCTCCACACGAAGCGGACGCACGCTGACAGGCCTCGTGGATCTGTGGATCTGGCGCGCGGGCGCGTCGATTCTGCATGGCAGCGGGGCCCGTCGCCAGGCCACGCGCCCGGATCCATGCTGGCGCTGTCTCGAACTCAGCACCTGGATATGAGACTGCAGGGGGGGTGCTGAAAGAAGGAACGCTAAATAAGGAACGAAGCCCCTCTGTGGCTTCAAGAAAGCCTGGGTGCACGAGAAGGGCTAGGGGAATAACCGCGGAAGGACGTAAGGAACATCGAGCCCCTTCCGAATCCAAACTGTTCCTTCTTTCAGCGTCTTGGCTGCATCCTCGGCGGTGGACAAGCCTCCCTTTCGTAAGCCACCCTTTAGTAAAAACGGCCCAGGACCGAAACTGACGCGTCTGGACCCGCAAAAGTGACGGCCGCGACGCCCTCTCGCGAACCGAAAGGGGCCAATTCGCTAATCGACGCGTCAGGGTAGGCGCTCTGTCAACCTCCGATATCCGCCGTCCCCCGCGTCAGGCCGCTGGGTGGTGCTCACACTCTCGTCGGGCCCCGCTCCCTCCCCAAAGGGCCAGGGCGCCGAAGGCCCGCTCGCCCCCCCTGGCGATGCGCCCCAGAGGAGGGGGAGATGGATCGAGGATCGAGGTTGGGGATCGAGGAGGAAAGGAGGTGATGGGTGTTGGGATCGATCGATCGATCGAGGATCGAGGTTTGGGGAGGAAGGCGAGGAGGAGGAGGAGGAGGCAAAGGAGGAGGAGGACAATGTAGGATAATATATGAGAAGGAGGAGTCGAAGGCGATGGATCAATCGATCGATCCCCATCACTTTTTGAGGAAGGAGGAGATGGATCGAAGACCGAAGTTCTGGAGGCCCTCCTCCGAAGGAGCAAAAGGGGGAGGTGATCCCCCCCTTCTTCTCCTCCCTCTCTCCTTCTGCCCTGCTTGTCTCGGGACGTCCCCTCTCACTGACCAGAACTAATTGAGGGCACCATTATTGAATACCTACTTGGATCGTCCAGGGCCCCAAACTCTACAAACTTGGGCGCGCACCAGAGAACCATCTACACGTCGTTGAATTATAATCGTGCTAATTTCTAATTGTGCTCGATTATGATTGTTCCTGGCCCCCTAGTGGCCAAGAAGAGGCCCAGGATAAATCAGAACTTCCGAAGCCTTAGACATGAACCACGTGTGCCCGCTTGGACCGTCCCGGGCCCCCACCTCTGCGAACTTGGGCGCGCTCCGGGGCCGACAGTCTTCTCCCTCGGGCGCGCACTCTTTTGATTCGCGGGTCGAGAGCGCACCTCTTCCGGTCGAAGCTAAGCGGGCCGCGCAGAGCTTTCATTACAGGCGGAGGGTAGGAGGAAAAGGGGGCGGGGCCTCAGGGCGAGGCCAAGAAGAGGCGAAGCCTCGGGAGCAGGGCGCCCTCGGGCGCACGCCCGGGCCCACAACCCACGACCGAGGGCCCCAGCTCTCCAGATCTGCGCCCTCGGGGCGCGCCCCGCGGCCCAGCTCTGCGGTTGCTGGGCGCGCGCCCCGAGGAGCCCGTGGATTCTCGGGGCCTCGGCGCGCGCGCCCGAGTGCACGCGCAGCTGCGGCCCCGGACTGGCCAGAGTTGGGGCCCCCGTGCGCGCCCGAGTCGGTAGGGCTTGGGGTCTCGGGGCGCGCCCGAGTTGATCCATGTGGAGCCCGAGTTGGGTAGATTCTGGGGCCCCGTGCGCGCACGAGCTGGGCGAGTCGGGGCCATCGGCGCGCCCACGAGCCCGCAGCTCTGGCGCCTCGGTGCCCGCCCCAAGTTTGCGGATTCGGGGCCTCGCTGCGCGCCCGAGGTCGTAGACTGGGGGCCCTGGTGCGCGTCCAAGTTTGTAGACTCGGAAGCCTGAGGCGGTCTGAAGAAACTGTGGAAAAGAACTCGCCCTCCTCTCGCTACCGCCGCTGGGCGCGGCTCGGAAAACCCTGCCAGAATGCCCCCCCTCCCCCTCCCCCTGGGCTTCGAGCGAATTTGGCGACAAGGGGAGGGGGATCGAGGCTCTCTGCCTCCTCCTCCTCCCTCTCCTCCTCCTTCTTCTCTCCCTCCCTACTCCTCTTCCTCCTCTTCCTCCCTCCTCCTCCTCCTCCTCCTCCTCCCCCTCCTCCTCCTCCTCCTCCTCCTCCTCCTCTTCCTCCTCCTCCTCCTCCTCCTCCTCCTCCTTCCTCCTCTCCCACCTCCTCGTGGCTCGACGGTCGAGGTTTTAGACGCTCTGGGCCGAGTCTGCGCCCCAGAAGCCTTTCCGTGAGCCCCCGGGGACCTCCGTGCGGCCGCCCTGACAGCGTGAGAGAGAGCGAGAGAACGAGAGAGAGAGAGGGAGAGAACCAGAGAGAGAGAGAGAGAGTGAGAGAGAGAGAGAGCGAGAGAGAACGAGAGAGAGAGAGAGAGTGAAAGAGAACCGGAAAGAGTGAGAGAACCAGCGAGAGAGAGAGAGAGAACGAGAGAGAGTGAAAGAGAGAACCGGAGAGGGAGAGAGAGAGATAGAGGACGAGAGATAATCATAACGCACTTCCTCCAACTAACGTCACTAGTCTTCAATCCCTTATCAATATGAATAAGTCATCCCTGTCGCACCCCGAGACTTTCGATAGGGCGGGCCAGGCGTTTCGCCTGAGACTTCCTCACCTGTACGACCCTGAAGCTAAAAACTTGCAACAGATTCGTTGATGGAGGCGGGTCGACTTTAAGATGTGGCTCTCGCCTTAGCGCCGCGCACATCCATTTAAAAAGTGTGCAATGGTTTTCAAGATAGAGGGCGGCGCCTCCTTTTTAACATGTGGTTCTCCCCGCAGCGCCGCGCACATTCGTCGTAACAATTTGCAGCAGCTTTAAGGATGGAGGGCGGTTACTTTTCAAAATGTGGCTCTCGCCATAGCGCCGCGCAAATTCGTCTTAAAAGTTTGCAGCAATTTCAAGGTTAGAGGGCGGCTCCGTCTCAACATGTGTCTATCGCCTTGGCGTCGCGCACATTCGTCTTAAGAGTTTGCAAACGTTTTACGGATGGAGGCCGGGCCGATGTATAACATCTAGCTCTCACCTCAACGCCGCGCGACCTCGTGTGAAAAAATCGCAAGAACTTCACCGATGGAGGGCAGCTCCTTTTCAACACGTGTCTCTCACCTGAGCGCCGCGCGCATTCGTCTCAAAAGTTAAAACCGGTTCAGGGATTCTGGCTGATGTCCCGGAAGTTGTGCTTTGGCGCGACTCAAAGCTATCAGGGCGCAATTCGCGGTGTTCAAATCCCTGGAAGCGTGCTCGGGTACGGTTTAGGACCATCAGGGCGCAACAGCAACCATGATTCTCGGCGTTGGAGTCCCAGGAATTTCGTCTTTGGAACGGTTGAAGATCCTCTGACGGTTGTTTTCCACTGGAGCACTTCCCTCGGTGAAAATAAATCCTTGAAGGGACCGGTGCATATAGAACTGTAAGGGAGGGTAGATTGCAACATCGTTGACGCGTGTTTGATTTACACTGGTCCTCGTCCTCCTCCTCCTCCTCCTCCTCTTCGTTTTCCTCGTTGTCGTCCTCCTCCTCGTCCTCCTCGTCCTCCTCTTCCTCCTCCCCCTCGACATCGGTTTTCTCGCGTGGTGGCACTTGGGAGCTCCTCCAGTGGCGACGAGGCGGATCGAGATTCGAGGCTCTGGGACGCCGCTTGGCATGTTTTTGGGGCGCCCTGTGGCTGCCTCGTCATCACGGCTGTTGCCCGCCTCGGATAACCCAGAACCCACCCCAGGAGGGGTCCAGGGGCCGATTTCTGAAGGAAGCAGGAAGGAGGATCGGCAGGAGGAGGAGGAGGAGCAGCAGGAGAAGAAGGAGGTGGGGGGGGAGGAGGACGCGGAGGAGGAGGAGGAGGAAGAGGAATAGGAGGAGGAGGAAGAGGTGGACCTGGACCTCCAACGTCCTCACCGAAAACACAGGTCGGGACATGTTTGTTGTGTTTGTCCTCGGGAGCTCGCTCTGGAGCCAGAGGACTGTCAAACAACGATCCGGGACAAACGGCAGGTCTGCCGACGATCGCGGAGGGCTCCGCGGGTGGGACTCACACCCCGATCGCCTGCGATCACAAGTACAGCAGAAGCTCGACCACGAGCAGTCTTCCACCAGAAGCCCAACTCTGAGACCCCAGGACGTCCATTGACTTCTGGCGCGGGAACACCACGCTCCCCATAACAAAGCCAATGAAACCCGAGAAACCCAGGGGGCCTGGAGGCAAGCAGGGTGTTCCTTGGCATGGGCTTCCACTGCATGTAAGATCATGCAGTCGAGAGATCACGCGAGGGATGGAGCCCAACACTTTTTTCGCTTGGGGAACAGGCGCCTCGAGAAACCATCGGAACTGCCTTGGACATGTAGCCAGCCATCGGCGAGAGAAACATCCAATCGACTTGGATGTGCAGTGTGCCGGATAGCAGCAATGCCTTCGTACGACGCTGGAAGCCAGCGGCGAAGAGTTAAAAAAACGTCGCTGCAACGTAGGAGGAGAAGGAGAACAGGGAGGAAAAGGAGGAGGAAGAGTACATAGGAGGAAGAGAAGGAGGAGGAGGAGGAGGAGGAGGAGGAGGAGGAGGAGGAAGAGGATCAATCGAACGACCACCACGTGATGCCAACCGAGGAAACCACTCGGCCGGAGAAGCGCATGCCAGCGGGGCCCGCCAGCCGGCCCGCCGAGCCGAGCAGGGTATTCCGGGGCGAAGAAGACACGCCTTTAAAATTACACACCGCATGCGAGCTGGCAGTGTCCAGAGGGCCTCGCCCAGCTCGCATCCAATGAGCACACTGCATCCGCCACCGTGCATTCGGCACGCCAGGGCGATTAAAAATGCGCCGCCACGCGGGGGAAGGGAGAGAATCAGAAGGAGCATGCAGTGGGGGCCCGACCATGAGAAACCTTCCACAAGAAACCCAACCCTGAGACCACAGGGCGTCCTTTGCTTTTGGGTGTGGGAACACCACGCTCTCCGTAGCAGAGTCATCGAAACCCAAGAAACCCACGGCACCCTGGAGGCAAGCAGGGTGCTTCGTGGCAAGGGTCTCCACTGCAGCGAGGAGAACGAGGAGAGGACGAACCACCGTGACGCGGTGCCCCATAGGAAGGAAGGCCACGCCGCCGGAGGAAGGAGCACACTCGGAGCAGAGGGGGGCGGGCACGTGCAAAGCCCGCTGGGATCACCCGCTCGGCCCGTCGGGCCCAGCCGGCGGCCCGCGGCGAAAAAGGCTCGGCGCGCCAGCGGCACCTCGCACTGCACAGGGAGCCGGCAGTGCCCAGAGGGGCCGTATCTGACTACCTACCAGACCACCCCAACCCAACCCGAAGACCCGAATTTCGGGTTGGGGGGGGTATGGGTTCCATATGTGTTTTTTCGATGTTCCCGGACCCCCCCCCCCACTAGAAATCGAGGGTAAATCTGAGCCTTCGGGTTGGGTTGGGGTGGTTTGGTGGGTGGTGAGTATCTGGCGCCGGATGAGCACGCCGCATGCCAAAACCCAGGGTCGGGGGCACGCCCGCGGGAGAAGGCACGTCGGGGCGCGACGCTCGACACTGGACGGCGTGGTTGGGATTCGTTCGGGGTGCAGAGTGAGCCCGTGCAATCCTGCCTGCAAGACGTGCCCTCCTGGGGCGCTGTCGCACGAGACGCGCCAGACCGCCACAGGGCCCTTGGGCAGACCTCGGAGGCGGCGGCGGCTGCGCAGGAGCAAGCCGATGCAGCATCAACCCGAGCAGTTCACGAGATGCACCGGCGCGCGAATTCGCAAGGAACCAAGGCCAGAGGCCGAGGCTCGCACAAAAGCAAATGGCGGATCTATGTGGCAGTCTCTCCGCCGAGCAGTCCGAGGCAGGCAGGGCTGCCGCAGCCCAACCAGGGGGAACGTTCGGGGGAGACCAGCTCAGGGGGGGGGAAACATCGGCATGACATCGGCGATACATCGGCATGAGATCGGCGATAGGCCTCCGATAATTAGCGAGTCCGCACTGTCAGGGGGCGACTGGGCCCCTATCGGCCATCAATGGGTGATTGGTGGTCGATGCACCCTCCCCCTCTGAGCCACCCCCCCATAAGACCCTGACCAACACATGCCTATAACCTACTTCTCCCCTGGCAGCCTCACCCCGCCGAAGGAGCCACCGCCGACGGGCCTCACGCGGAGCGCCCGTAGCGCAGCACGTGGCACCCAACCGCCCGCACCAGCCCAGCCGCCTCCTCGTGCATCTCCCCAGCGGCCACCTATCGGGCGCGGCCCAATCGACCCTTGCCGTGACCAGCACCCTCCGTGACGTCATCCTCGCCTTCCAAGCTTCCCTCCCTCCGGCCGCACACGCACGTCCTGGGCAAGGGGGTGAGGCGAGGGGGGCGTCACGAAAGCGGATGGTTTGCTAGTGGTCGGTTAGTAGACGCCTCTTTGATGGGGTCCAATTAGAGGGGGTCGGAGGATTGCACTGCATCGGTGATGCATCGGTGATGCATCGGCGACGCCAGCGCAGAGGAAATCGGGCGATGCATCGGCGACGTCGGTGCTGCATCGGCGACGCCAGCGCGTAGGACATCGGGCTCTGCATCGAGCCGCATCGCCGAGGCATCGGCGATGCGGCGCGAACCTCAAGCCCCATCCACTCGGACCCCACCTGCGAGGCATAGAGTTAGGCTTACGTCGGGCATGTCCCCCTACAGGCGGCTTTTGGACGAAAGTTTAAACATAGTCCAAACATCCCCCACAATTCAAAAAATACTCAACAAATCGTCCCCAAACTATTGTTTTGCTATTTTTGAAAATTCTTCCTGTAGAGGGCCACGCCCGACTGAAAGTTAGGCCTCCCCTGAACCCGCTGCTCACTTCTAAGTGTGCTCGTTTCTAATTGTCTCTGGCCCCCTAGTGACCAGGAAGAGGCCCACGATAGAAAAATTACTCCGACGGAAGAACCCCACATAAGAATCCTCTGGGCGAATCTGGAAAAAGCCATCACCGTCGTCCTCGTGGTTGGCGAGGCGTCCTGGCTGTCTCTTCTGCGTATATTTCCTCTCGCCTTGGCGCGGGCCCCCTTGCGTTCCTTACGTTGTCCCCGTCCTCGCCCCCCTGTTTGTTCCGCGCCCCGCCACCTCCCCCCCTTCCTGTTGCGTGAGCGCGCGCGTCGATGTTCCTCGGCGCCGTCGCCGCCACGGCCAGCACAGGCGCGTTCTCTACTGGTCACGTCGCGCAGCCGTTGGGGCAACCCCGCGGGCCAGGCTGTCGGGACAACCCCGCGAGCCGCTGGCGCGCAAGACCAAGCCGTTGGGACAAACCCGCGGGCTTCGAGCGAGGCGCAGCCGCGCTCAGGCGGAAGGCAGCACGAAGCCCAGCTCTGCCGCGAGCTGCTTCGCCTCCGCCCTGGACAAAACCGCTCTCTTGTCGAACTCCAGGAGCGCCTTCCGCAGGGACGCCGGCGGCCCGCGCTCCAGGAACTCTCGCGGCGGCGGCCGCAGGATCAGCATGTTCCGCACGCGCGTGGCGCGGGAGAACATGACGTAGAGGTGCAGCCACCACTGCTCGTCCGACATGCCCGTGCGGCCAGCGTCCTCGTCTCTCGCGCAGTCGATGGTGACGCCCTTGCGCAGCGTCTGGCCCTGCGACAGCGTGGAGGTCAGGTAGGACGCGTGCGTCAGGGTGAACCCCGAGCGGCGCACGCTGTGCGCCCCCGAGCTCTGCCATGTGAACTCCCTTTCGCTGGGCCTGAACATCAGCAAGCTCCGCGCCCGCGCCTCGGCCTGGCCGTCGTCGTCGGCGCCTTCGGCGCCCTGTCGCAGCACCTCGGCGACCTCCTGGTAGATCGGAGACTCCTTGAAGCCGTGCACCTGCAGCCAGATTCCCCGCGGTAGGAAGCGGGGGCGAAAGAGCTGGCCTGCCGAGCACTCCTCGTAGCGCTGCTCGTCCTCGTGGTGGAACTCGAAGGACACGACGGTGGCCCGCTGCTCCCGCACGAGCCCCAACATCTTCTTCAGCTCCTCCTGCGCTGCCGTGAACCGCACCTCCATGCCGACGTGGGCCGGCAACACGCCGTGGATGTCCCCCGTCTTGTGCATGTTCGGGACGTTCAGGAGGCGCCGACCCGCGTCGGGCTCGCCCTGAATCGTGCCGCACTCGTCAACGGCCTGCAGGAAAACAAGGGGCACGCCCAGACGCCGAGCGTCGCGACGAGCGCGCGTGTTGATCCACCTCGCCAGCGTCTCCGAGTATATGCCCATGCCGCAGCCGAGCCGAAAGTTCTCGTGCTGGTGCCGAGGGTCCAGGACGCCCTGGTTGTCCGTGGCCAACGTCTTCTCCCAGGCGGACCAGACCTCAGGTGGGAAGGGCTTGCCTTCGCGCATGCAGCCCAGGAACGTGATCAGAGGGTCCCCGGGCTCGAAGCGCTTCGTGCCCTTCAGCTCGAAGACGCAGGGGATCTGAGAGAAGACCTTGATGGCGTGCTGGATCTCCACCGTCGGCGGGTCCGCGTACCTGTACGACTCGTCGTCGTCGTCCAGGCGCTCGTTCACGTCCGTCAGGAGGCCAATGCTGCCGGTGGGCTTCAGCTGCAGGAAATCGCCGAGGTGCAACACGATGGGCACGCGCCCGAAGTGGTGGTGTGGCCGCTGGTAGTTCGACTCCTGCACGTCGTGCGTGTCGCTGCGTCCGTGGCAGGCGCGAAGGTCCAGCGCGTTGTACAGCGCGGCTGCCACCATGCTTATCTCCTCCTTGTTGCGTCCAAAATGTGGCCTGGGAACTGCGTTCTGGCAGCGCGAGAACCCAACATTGACGACAGTTACAGGTTTTGGATGACCCGCTCGGATTACCAACATGATCTGCGGGCCCCATAGGGAGGGAGCTCCCGCCTGAGACTTCCTCGCAGTTCACTCACAGACGAGGCTCCCGCCTGAGACTTCCTCCATATTCAGGCTTGGGGAGCCCAAAAGTGACGACAGTTACAGGGTTCCGATGACCCGCTCGGATTACCAACATGATCTGCGGGCCCCATAGGAGGGGGCTCCCGCCTGAGACTTCCTCACAATTCACTCAGAGACGAGGCTCCCGCCTGAGACTTCCTCCAAATTCAGGCTTGACGAGCCCAAAAGTGACGACAGTTACAGGGTTCCGATGACCCGCTCGGATTACCAACATGATCTGCGGGCCCCATAGGGAGGGGGCTCCCGCCTGAGCCTTCCTCAGAATTCACTCACAGACGAGGCTCCCGCCTGAGACTTCCTCCAAATTCAGGCTTGAGGAGCCCAAAAGTGACGACAGTTACAGGGTTCCGATGACCCGCTCGGATTACCAACATGATCTGCGGGCCCCATAGGGAGGGAGCTCCCGCCTGAGACTTCCTCCCAATTCACTCACAGACGAGGCTCCCGCCTGAGACTTCCTCCATTTTCAGGCCTGGGGAGCCCAAAAGTGACGACAGTTACAGGGTTCCGATGACCCGCTCGGATTACCAACATGATCTGCGGGCCCCATAGGGAGGGGGCTCCCGCCTGAGACTTCCTCACAATTTACTCAACGATGATGAGGATGAGGATGATGAGTGGTGGTGAAGATGAGTGGTGAAGAGGATGATGATTGATTGTGAGTGGTGGTGGCGATGATGATGTTTGAATGAGGATGATGCCGATGCCGATGATGATGATGATGATGATGTTCGTGAGCGTGTGAGAGGAGTGCGAGTGATGATGATGATGATGAGTATGTGAGTGACTAAGCATGTGAGAGAGCATCATCGATGATGCTGATGAGGTTGATGATGAGAGAGTGCGAGTGAGTGTGAGAGGGTGTGTGTGTGTGTGTTCCTGTTCCTGCGCGGGGTGTCCAGAGAAAACAAGAACCCCACTTTGGATGTGGGGAAATAGAAATGAAAGGATCTGGGCCCCCCAAAAAAACAAAGAACTTTCGAAGACTTAGAAACGAAGCGTGTGTAGAGTTAGGCCGCCCCCGAACCCGCTGCGCCGCCAGCTGCAGCAGCCGCCGCTGCCAGGCGGAGGGGGCCTCGGCGTCGGCCGCCCGCGCCAGGGAGGGGGTGGCCCACCACGGCGCGGGGGGCGCCCGCAGGGCGGCGCGCAGCGCGACGCGGCGGCTGGCCTCTGGGGCGCAGAGTGATGGGAGGGCGATGCGGTCAACCAGTATAGCAAGGATGCGCGATGAGGGTGCAAGGGCCTTGGACGCCAATTTTTAGTAGAAGCTTGGCGAGCGGGGAGCGACCAGCGGAAGCGGCGAAGGACGGGCCGGGGAGGCAAGGATGCAAGGGTACCCTTGGGAAGGTTGCCCATCCTTAGTGTGCGGGTTGACTGTACATAACTTGGGGGGCGATATTAGACGAGCGCTTTCCACTACTCGCAAAGTAGCTGCTCGCAAATGGCCTGGATCCGCCGCGGGGGATCCGCCGCGGGGGATCAAGCTGACACGTGTTTTTTTTTCGGGCGTTTGCGAGTAGGCACTTTGCGAGTAGTGGAACGCGCTCGGCGAGAACCAATGGGAGGGCGATACATAACTCGGGGGTGGAGAAAGGTGCCCTTCTCGGGCCCGACAGGCCCCCTTGGGGGCCCTAAGAGGCGCCCTCAGGGGCCCCCAAAGGGCTCCGTTTCGGCAGCCCTCGCTCCCCCCCCCTTCCATTTTTATCGCCCCCCCCCCATTACGCGCCCGACGGCCTCGGTGTGCGACATGTGCCGGGCGAGGGCCGTGGACAGACTCAGGGCTGACGTCATGGGCACGCGCGCTGGAGAGGCCCACGGACTTGGAACAGGCTCTGCGCAAGAGCGCGCCCGGTCCGCCTGGCTTCCGGCCAACGCTTTGGGCCAGCTTGAGAAATCAACCGCGAGCAGTTCGCTGGGCCAGGAAGCCCTGGAGGCAGGTTGTCTCTTGGTGGGCGGGAACGTGCGGCACCAAGGGGCTCTGGCGGGAGACGGCTGGGACTCTTCTGGGATCCTTCCTCCCTCGCGGGACTTCGGGGGCATGAGGCGGCTGCGCCTGACCACCACGCACCACGCAACCTCGTCTCATTTGATGTTGTTCCGTCGTGACCGTCTCAAGGCTAGTATGTTCGATTTGTGGTACGTGTGTGCGCCAGGCTCTACACGCAACTACTCTAAGCATGGCACGCGAAGGACCGATCTGATCTGGTCCACGAACGGTCCCTGGCCTGTCCAGTCCCAGTGCCCTAAAGCCGAGGCTTGCATGCTGAGATTTGGGCGGCGAAGGTGGCAGCGGACTACGTGCCGCGCGTTGACCCGTCATGCCTGCTCGGACGGGGGCCCGCTCCTTGGTTCCACGTATCCTCGCAAGTCTTCTTTGTCCTGAGGAAGAGGGCCCTGGCCCCTGTGCGCATCCGCCACCGTGCCTCGAGGAACGAAGTGGAGCTACCCCCAAGCTCTCCTGTGTTCTCTGCTCTCTGCACTCAGGGCTGGGGGATTTGGCGCCTCGAGGCACGAAGTGGAGTGTCCTCAAGTCCTCCAGGGTTCCCGGTTCCCTGTACTCCGGACTATGGGATTTTAGTATTCTTGGGGCTTGGGGCCCAATTCTCAAATTTTCCCGGCGTTCCCGCACGCTCTTTTTGGGGCTCGGTCGCATGTATTTTCCAGGGGCCACAATGCCCCAAGACAGGTCAGGAGGATCCCGAGAAACGCCCAGGAGGCCTCTTAGACAGCCCAAGAGCGCTGCAAGACGCCCGAGATGGCCCCACGACGGCCCAAGGGGCTTCAAAGAAGCCCCAATAGCGCTCCAAGGGGACCCCGAAGAGGGCCCAACGAGGCAAATATCAATGTTGTTCGCGTTTCTGGATGTTGTTCGCGTTCTCGCGTTCTCGGGCTTCCGACGCTCCAAGACTGCCCCAGGGGCCCCCAAGACAGCCCAAGAGGCTCACAAGAGGGCCCCAAGACGGTCCAAGAGGGCCCCAAAACTGCCCAAAAGGCGCCCAAGATCGCCCAAGAGGGCCCCAAGATGGCCCTAAGGGAGACCCAAGAGGGGGCACACGAACCAACATTTCAGAGGCCCCCAGGTGAGCCCCAGAGACCCCCTAGAGGCCCCCAAGAGGCCCAAAAAGTGGCCCCAAGAGGCCCCCAAACGGCTCCCAAGAGGCCTCAAAACTGCCTCCAAGAGGTCCCCGAGAGGCCTCCGACGATATCCAAACGAACATCCAAGAGGCCTCTAACGCACAACCAAGGCACGGTGGCGAGATGGGCCGAAGACCACAAAATATTTGCCTCTCCCCTCCGGCTTCGGCCCGTCCCAACGGCCACCGCGAAGAGGTGGTTGCCAAAATGCTCCCGGTCCAGATGGTTCCAAAATAGCCCAAGATGGCCTCCATGACGGCCAGGATGGTATCCAAGTTCGCTCAAGATGGTTCAGGATGGCCTCGAAGACAGCCCAAGGGTCCAAGATGCCTCCAAGTTCGCCCAAAAAGCCTGCAAGACGGCCCAAGACGGCCTCAAGATGACGGCAGACGGCCCAAGAGGCCCCCAGGAGGCCTCCAAGACGGTCCAAGCGGCCTCCAAGAGGTTCTTCAGGAAGGCCCGGCCCGAACTGGCCCAAAGTATGTTCCTCAGGTTTTTGAAGGATGTTGGCATTTGCTTTTTTTCGGCCTTCCGACGGCCCGAGACGGGCCAAGAGCCCCAAAGAGCGCCCCAAGATCGCACAAGAGGCCTCCAAGATGGCCCCAGAAAGGCCCCAGAGGCCCCCAAGACGGCCCCAAAGGGCCCCAAGATGGCCCAAGAGGCCTCCAAGACGCCCAAGATGGCCTCCAAGACGACCCTGGAGCACCCCAAGAGGGCTCCAAGTCGGCCCAGAGAGGCCCCCAAGACGGCTTCCGCCGGCGTCAGACGGGCCAGGAGCCCACCAAGATGGCCCAAGACGGCCTCAAGATGACGGATGACGGAGAGTCCCGAAGAGGCCCCGAAAGGCACCCAAGAGGCCCAAGGAGGCCCCACGATGCATCAAAGTGGCTCCCAGGAGGCCCCAAGAGTGCCCCCCAGAGGCTCCGAAAATGGCCCCTCCTCCTCTTCCTCCTCCTCCTCCTCATCGTCCTCCTCCTCCCTCCTCCTCCTTTTCCTCCTCCTCCTCCTCCTCCTCGTCCTCCTCCTCCTCCTGGTCTTCCCCGCCATCCTCCCCCAAGTGTTCCCCGAAAGATTTCTACAACGTCTGGTGGAACACATAGTCCGAAAGCTTGGCAGAGCTCTTGCCACAACGCTCGGCCACGTGGGCGATTCCAAACGGCAAGGGGCGGAGGTGATTCGCCGTAGACGTCTTCGATCAGAATCTCCGTCATCCCACATGGTATCAGAGAGAATTCCCTTGGCGGCCATCCTGCAAAATTTCCGTTTCGGTCACAAAAAGTCTGATTGGCGTCGCGCCCGTGCGATATTTTCTCGAGCGTGGCGACTGGGGGAGGCACAGACTGGCGGGTGAACCCCAACAACAAAGCATTCAGCAGCAGCCGTGCCACACTGGCGGTCGTGAGCCGCCGATTCTTTGCGAACTCGATGGCGCAACACGCATCACTGCCCCAAATAAGCCTCAGTAGCATCTGCGCCGTATCTCAGATTGGCGAGCTGAGCCCGAGGTGGGAGTCGAAGCCCCAGCAGGGGAAACTGCACATTCGATGCCAAGCGGACGCCACAGGCGTCGCCAACCATGGCATGCAAACTCCTCACTCGCGCCGCTCTCGGTTCGCCTTCTTCCTGGATGCGCCCTTGGCCTGTCGAATAGTATGCTCAGGGCGATCTCACGTGCGCTGCGCGGAGAATCCATGGCTGCGGGCTCCGTCTACAACCACTGACCGCAAACTCGCTCACATCTCCACTGCTGCCTGACCCGCTCACATCCGCTCACATTCAATGCTACCTGACCACCTCGCATCCAATGTCCCCTGCAGCAGCAACGGTGACGCCAGTTGAGGATACTTCTAATATCATTCCCTAGCGCTGCTCGTGCTCTGAAGGAGCCGACTTCCTTTGTCAGCCCTTGTGACCCGCTGCTTCGCTTGACCGGTGCCGAGGAAGTCCTTTACTCCTCATTCACCTCTCTCTGCCGCTCCTGGTCCTGCTCCCCCTCCTCCTACTCCGCCTCCTCCTCCTCCTGCGCTGCCCCTTCTGCCCCGAACAATCGACGGACCCCTTTTGGGGCACCGTGGAGTCACGGGTACGTAGCACAGCGGCAGGCACGGAGCAACGCAAAAGAAGAAGCATGGTGGCGACTGAGAGACAGGGAGAGAGAAAGAGAGAGAGAAGGAGTGCACAAAAAAAAAAAAAACTAAGGATTGCAAAAAAAAACGAAGGATTGCAAAAAAAAACGAAGGATTGCAATCCTTCGTTTTTTTTTTTTTTGCGATCCAACATGTTGTTCGTCCGCCGGAAGGGGAGCCTCCGCGCACATGCCTCCACGCGGGCAGCGGCTTCGCTCTCCCTCCGCTGCAGCCGCCGCCGACGCACCCGTCAGCTCCACATGCGATCGTTCTTGCCGTTGTCGTGCTGCCTCGAAAAACGGGAATGATGTAAAAGGGTGCGTCAGTGGTTAAAGGGAGGCAGGAGCACCGTTCACACAGGAGATGGAGGACCAATGGACACCCACAATCTCGACCGCCACATGGCGAAGGATCCGAAAACGAGGAATGTTGCAGCTGCACCGCCCTGCAGCATACATGCTAATAGATTCGTTCATGTGTTCGGCTCGGCTCCCAAACTATCAAAACAAGACCGCGTGGATAGCACCTCGTCCTCTAGGGAGTCGGCCACACGAGGCTTGGTGGCATCCACCAGATGTGCTATGATCCCTGAACGCTCGAATGCCGTTCTAATAAGTTTCGTCGTTTCGGGTAAATCCCTGGGCGACGCCTGTATCGAATCATTGCATGGGCCGGCCAGTGACTACGGATAGTCTGAGTTTGGCGAAACACCACTGCGAAGCACGCATTCGGCAACGATTGCAGCCAAGATCCACGAATCCAAACTCATGGAAAATTAGCATGAGCAGCATGATCCGAAAACTCAAACGCCTCATCCTCGACGTGATGATGTCGCTGTGATGCACGTAGCTCCAACATGCGGCCAGCGTGAATTCCACACGTGAGAGTGCGTGCGCGGAAGGGGGATCTGAGATGCGTTCAGGACGGGTGAATTCAACGTGTGTTTTCACACGTGTCGTCTCTATGGGTGGTGCTCAACATGCGACCGGCGAGTGATTGATACGTCAAAGACTCGTGCGTAGGGGGGGGATCGAACATGCGTTCGGCACGCGGGCAAGCGGCGTGTGCTTTGCACGTGTAGTTCCCAGGGGGGGATCCAACGTGGGGTCAGAAGCTCGCGGAAGACTTCATCTTTGAAACTACGCGCGCGGAGGGAAGGAATCCAGCATGCGTTCCGCACGTTTATGCTCGGCGTGTCTCCGCACGTGTAGTCCCCAGGGGGGCACCGAACACGTGGCCCGCGGACGAGCAACGCTGAAAACGTACGTGCGCGAAGGGGGGGGATCTGGCATGCGTACTCCGCTGCCCCGATACGCAACACGCAGCGTGCTGACACGGAGCTCAACACGCAGACTGAGCACGCAGGCCCGAGCGCAGGACGTCTTGAGCACGGCACGCGTTGCGCCCCAAAGCGGGCGTATCAGGGCAGCTGAGCCTGCGTATGGCACACGTGCACGTGGCGTGCGTTTTTCATACGCTCCGCGCGGCGACGATGCGCCACGCCGCCCCCTTTGGACCAAGAGCAGGGCCGAGGAGGGGGGACGAGTGAGGAGGGGGAAGAGGGGGAGGAGAGCAGGAGGGAGGAGAGAACAGGAGAGAAAGGGTAGGAGGCAGGAGGAGGGAAGCGGAGGAGAAAGAGGAGGACCAGGAGGGTGGCCACAGGAGGAGGAGGAGACTACCCTTGGAAGAAGAATTTGCTCCCTCCCTACCCGTTGCTACCTACGGTGGTCTCCTACGGTTCCTTCCTGCCGGCACAGAAGGTGGAGGAGGACGAGAAGAAGGAGCGGGGAGGAAGAGGAGGGGGAGTACGGAGTGGCGGAGTGGGGAGTACGGGCGAGAAAAAGGAGTGGGGAGGAGGGGCAGGATGGGGAGTGGCAGAAACGAATGCCATGGGGAAGACATGAAAGCATTATAACGAAACTTAACATGACAATATGCGCCATAACAGAAGGACACAGCGCAACACACAACGCAACGCTACAGGAAAAACACCGTGCAACAGGCGTACGTAATACATGCATGCACATGAAGCGTTGTGTGTGCATTAATCGGTAGGTGGGGCTTTAAATATTGAGTGGTACACTTGGGTTATGATCTGTTGATGCATGCTGCCAGGAAGACAAACTGCGCGGAGCGTAGGAACCTCTGCGGCAGTGGAAACATCGACAGACAATAGACTCGCACAACGACTCCAACTTATGCCTCTCCCTCCTGTTGTGTTCCTTCTCATGCCTCCCTCCCCCCTCATCCTCTCCTCAAGACCATGCTTCTGGACACCCGTGGGAATATCAGAAACATGAGGACATGATAAGCACAGGGCGCCCGAACCTTTCAGGATCTGGAAAACCTCCTGATCACTCACCCTTCTCTGAGGTGAAGGCGAGTGTGGATTGCCGAGTGGGATAAGAGATGAAAAGGATGAGGAGGACGAGGATCTAGGGACAAGGAGGAGGAGGACGACGACGACGACGACGATGACGACGACAACTGTGACGACGACGACGGCGGTGACGACGACGACGACGACGACGGCGACGGCGACGGCGACGGCGACGGCGACGGCGACGGCGACATCGACGACGACGACGATGACGACGAGAACGCCGACGACACTGGAGGAGCGGCCTCTGTCCCCACGAGCCCCAGGCGTCACGCCCGCCCGGGGGCTCGTTCCGCCCGCCGCCACCGCCGGGGTCGCCCCAGCTCCGCCGGCCGTGCCAGGAGGATGTCGCCCTGCGCCCCCGCCCTGCCGCCCTGCGCCTCATTCCTCATCCGTGCTCCAGCGAAGCTGGGTGTTCACAGGATGACGAGGGCACTCATGCTGCCGATGATGATGATGATGATGATGATGATGATGAGGATGATGATGATGATGATGATGATGATGATGATGATGATGATGATGATGATGATGAGGATGATGATGATGATGATGATGATGATGATGATGAGGATGAGGATGATGATGATGATGATGATGATGATGAGGATGAGGATGAGGATGAGGATGATGATGATGATGATAATGATGATGATGATGATGATGAGGAGGAGCCTTCGTTTTTTCTCGACGAGGGAGCCCACTTGCCTCTGGAAATTGGTGCGGTACATGGATGGCGAGTTGTCGAAAAAACACCTCATGGTCCTATTGCTTGGGTCGCGGCGGGCACCCTCGCGCGTCGAACGCAAGGGCGGTCAGTTGCAGGCACCGGGCATTCAGGGTGCGTGTCGTCAACTCTCACGTAAGCACAGCGCGCAAAGGGGAGGTGCAGGATGCAAAGTGCGCGGGCCGCGCGACGCCCCGTTTGCCAAGGCACACATGAGCGCTTGGCAGTAGCCGTCACTCGAAAAGAAAGCCCGCCGCCTCCTCTCCGGCGTCACCCCCAGGCCATTGCTCAAAATTCTCGGAAAAGCTCGACGAGGGGTATCGGATGCGGGCTGCACGGCGCCGCCCAGGATCTCGCCGCGAAAGGAAAACACAGGGCGACTCAACCGTGCGCCACCACGTCGAGCCAAGTCTCTACTTCGTCTTCCAACCAGCATGTCGGCATCACTCCTGTCATTCTCCTCGCGACGCCCTCCGCGAGGAAGACGTTGGCGATGGCCCCGCGTAGGTGCCACATGGGCGCTACTACCGGCAACTTGAGCTTGTTCCCGTCGCGTGCGGCCTCCAGCTTCACCGTTTGCACCTCGAGGTCCAGCTGGTTGCGATCGACGGTTGCCGTGCCACCCTCCGGCAACTCGATCGTGTCGAGGTAGTCGCTGGGTTGCTCCTTCATGTTGCCGCCGACGTCGCAAGTGACCAGCTGTCCGACCAGGGTGACCACCAACGAGGCAGTGGGGCTCCCAAGTGCGCGGTATTGAACTGCACCTGCTTCTCGTGCGACCTGGACGTCTCTGCGGTAGTCGTCGAATGTTTGCTGCAGCTGGATGATGACTGGATGCGTCTTCGGCATGGTGAACGTGTTCACCACTGTCGCCATTGTAGGTCGCTGCCTCTGCGATGGTCGAATTAAGCCGCCTCCTCCTGATAGTCCTGCTCCTCCTGCTCCTTCTGCTCCTGCTGCTCCTCCTCCTCCTCCTCCTCCTCCTCCTCCTCCTCCTCCTCCTCCTCCATATTCTCCTCCTGATCCTCCTGCCCGCCCTGTCGTTACTTTTCCTCGCATTATCATTATCTGTCTCCTCCTCCTCCTCCTCCTCCTCCTCCTCCTCCTCCTCCTCCTCCTCCTCCTCCCCCCCCTCTTCTTTCATTCTATCCTCTACCTGGGAGGGAGAGAGGGAGTAGGACGGAGGACGAGATCGTGGGGTATGAAGGGGAGGAGGGGCAGGGGGCGACAGGGAGGTACCCCTGACTGGAACAACCCGTGTCCATCCAAGGAGATCTGACAGACACAGGATAAGAAACAGGAGGAACAGGACGACGACGACGACGACGACGACGACGACGACGGGGAAGCGGGGAGAACACCCGTACCAAGAACGTGCCGAATGATAGTTCCATCGGGACATCAAAGTGGGGCAACGGTACAGAGTGCAATACAAAACCAAAACCAAACACCGACCAAAAAAATCCTCTCCCCCTTCGGGGAGGGGTTTACCCCACCCCCTACCCCCTGGACCTGGACGGGGGAGGTCGCGAGCGGTTAGGGGTTCCATGTTCGGCCCCTGGGAGGGCCAATGTTTGACACCCCTCACGAGGATCGTGGCCTCCGAGTGGGGGGGGGACGCGCATCGAGAACACACCCTCTTTTGACAGACCGCCTCCCAGATGGCCCCAAGAGGCCCTCCATGGCTCCCAAAAGGCCCCCACGAGCGCTCCAAGAGCGCCCAAAGAGGCCCCAAGAGGGTCACAAGAAAGCCCCAAGATGCCCCCAAGAGGCCCCCGAACGGCCTCAGAGAGCCCAAGATGACGTCCAAGATGGCTCAGATAGACCACGCTGGTTCAAGATGTCTCCCAAGATGCTCCAAACGGCCCCAAAACAGAGCGCTCCAAGAGAGCCCCAAGAAGCGGTTTGCGGGCTCATGATGAGGGAGCTGAGTTGGGAGCTCCCCCCATCCTGTAATCGATGGCCTCCAATATGATCCCAAGAAGCCTTCCAAGAGTTACCAAAGGGGTTCCAAGAGGACCCCCAAAACTCCCAGAGAGCACCAGCAGCAGCAGCAGCAGCAGCCGCAAGAATACCTCTAGATGGTTCCACGAATCCTCGTCCGCGTCGTCCTCATCCTAGTCCTCGTCCTCATCCGCGTCCTCTTCCTCCTCGTCCTCCTCGTCCTCATCCTTCTCCTCCTCCTCCTCCTCCTCCTCCTCCTCCTCTTCCCCTCGCCTCCACGCAGCCCCCAGGGATGGCCAGAGGAGGCCTTCCAAGGCCACCCCCTTGCTCCCAGAGATCTCTCGGTTCACCCTAGTTGCTCGCTTTGTTTCTCTAGATGTGTCTCTTCGTCCCTTGTCCAGTCAGCCCTCATGGGCAGGGTTTTTGAATGGGCTGGTGGGGATACGCGAAGCGTGAAGAATACAACACAAAACCAAATCTTAACACCGATGACACGACTGGCTACGAGAGACTGCTTAAGGAGTCAGTGCATTGGCACCGTCATAGGCCACGGGTGCACGCAGTATCATCTCTCCCTCTCTCTCTCTCTCTCTCTCCCTATCTCTATGTATCTCTCTTTCTCCATGTCATTTGTCTCATCTCTGGTCTGTCTCTCTCTCTCTCACTCTCTCTCTCTCTCTTTCTCTGTCTCACTTCTCTCTCTCTCTCTCTCCGTCTCTCTCTCTCTCTCTTTCACTGTCTTTCTCTGTATCCCCTCTCCCTCTCCCTGTCAATATCCCCCTCTCCGGCGTTGCGCGAGCGAGACAGGGAGAGAAGGGGAGAGATCTAGAGGAATATCCGCCGACCCTGTCGGCGTGTGGAAAAGGCTGTTCCGTTTGACTCGTCTTCGTCGACGTCGTCGTCGTCGCCGTCGCCGCTCCCTCTCTTTCCCTGGGCCCGTCGCCGCCCTCCCCTTTTCCTGTGCCCTCCCTCTCAAGCGCATTCCAAGCTTTCTCCTGGGTCTCCTCCTTCTCCAACGCGCCAGCAGTTGTCTCTCTTACCCTGGGCCTTTCTCTCCAAGCGTGCTAGCCCAAACGACAATAACGAACGTCGTGATTCATTCGAAGGGAAGCCCCCTCCCTTGATCCCTTCCCCGCCAGGGGGGGGGGGTCCCAGGGGGATAACCTGGGGGAGACCCGGGCGGGGCTCCAGGGGGGGGGGGCGTCCCGGGTCAGAATGCCTCCCCGCTGGGGGGTCCCAAAGCCCCAAACCCCCCAAGACGAACCAAAACTGCCCCAAGAGGCCCCCAAGAAGTTCCAAGAGGGCCCCGAATCGCCGAACTCTCAGTCCAAGACGCGAAAGTAGCCTCCAAACGGCCCAAGAGGTTTCCAAGACGCCCCAAGAGGCCTCCAAGAACACTCCCAAGAGGGCCCCAAGAGGCAAAAATGATTGATTTCCCTGAGGTTCTTGATTGATTCTGGGATTCTCGCCATTTCGGCTTCCCGACACTCCAAGACGGCCCAAGAGGCCCCCAAGATCGCCCCAAGGTGGCCCACGAGGCCTCCGAGAGGGCCCCAAAACGATCCAAGAGGCCCCCAAGACGGCCCAAGACACCTCCAAGACGGCTCCAAGAGTGCCCAGACGAGGGATACGAACGGACATTCCGAGCCCTCGGCCTGAGAGGTTCCCAGGAAGCGCCAAGAAGCCCCCAAGAAACTCCAAAGATGCGCCAAGTGGAGCCCCAAGGGGCCCCCAGGAGCCTCCCAATAGGCCCCCAAGAGGCCCCCATCTTAGTTCTACTGATCCTCATCACCATTTCGCTATCTCTCCCCCTCATCATCCTCTCCCTCCCCATCTAATCTCCATCCTGCTCCCTTTGCTCTTGCTCCTCCTCCTCCTTCTCCTCCTCCACCTCCTCCTCCTCTGCTCCTCTCTTTCCTGCCTGCATCCTCTCTTTTGCTGCCTTGCTCCTCCTCCTCCTCCTCATCGTGACCCCACTCCTCCTCGTGACCCACTCGCCGCCCACTCCTCCCTCCCCCCCCCCCACTCGTGACCCCGAAGCGGCGGCCACCGCAGCAAGCCCCCCCCTCCGCCCCCGCGATCGTCGTCGAGATCCTGGCCTGGAGCGGCTCCGGCGCCGCGGCTGCGGCGGGGGCGGCGGGAGCGGCGCCGGCGGCGGCGGCGGGAGGCCCTGGCGCGCAGAGGCGGGGCAGGGCGGGGCGGGGCGCCGACCCGCGCGCAGAGAGGCGGCGGCCACGCGAGAGCACGTCACGGCGGGCGGGAGGCGGGAGGTGCACTTTGGACCCCCGTGGGGTTCGCGAGCGGGAGTGCGTCCCGCCCCCAGGGCACCCTTCCCACAGGAGGCAGGCTCGGTGTTTGGTTTGGGTGCGGCCAGGAGCAGCCCTCGCCAGGGTTGCATGTTGCTGCTCAGCGGGAACGGATTGGCACCGGGTGCTTCCCTGTGTTGCTGGACCGCGAGTACCAACTCTTGTTCACCGCGGGCGTGTGCCAAGGTGAAGTACCCCAGTACAGACACAGAGGAGGAGGAGAACGACGACGACGACGACGACGACGACGACGACGACGACGACGACGACGACGACGACGACGACGACGACACGACGACGACGGCGGAGACCAAGGAACACTGAGGAACACCACAGGAGCGCTACGACGGGGAGCAAGGAACTCTGACGAATACACGACGCGCGGAGGGAAGGGGTGCAGAATCGAACTTCGAGGAGTCGCGGAGTCGAGGGGTCGCTCTTGGGGGGCGTTCCGTTTGGGGGGCGTTCCGTTCGCCCCTCTCTGGGAGGCCTCTTGCGCCGCCACGGCTGGTCGCCTCCTCGGCCGGCGACGACGGGGAGGAGAAGGAGGAGGCCCAAATTGACTGCAACAAAAATCACCCCCCACACTTCTTGGGACACGCTCGGCGCCGGAAGGGTCGCAGAAACAACGCTCCTGGGTGTCCGCGGCTGGAACGGACAACTATTATCTGCAACCCCTTCCGCGCGAGAGGTGTCCCAAGAGGGGTGGTGGGCTGCTTGTTCCAATCATCTGGTGCTTTCTGAAAGCACATCGGAGCCGTTTTGAGGGAGCTGCTATAGCTGCTAGAGGCGTTGCGGGAGCCTCGGGGGTGCGGTTTTCCCCACCCGACTGGTCGGCGTCGTGAGATTTTAAGAACGGACCTCCCAGCCTGCCCACCCTGCATACCACGGCCGCCAGATCCCCAGGTCCACCGAAAATCCCCGTCCCCCACTCCTGGCAACCCGACCCGCCCGCTCTGCATACCGCAGCCGCCAGATCCACAGGTCAATCGAGCATCCCCGAGACTCCCACCCATCTGAGCATGACTGAACAGAAATCACAGCACACTGCATACCAGAGCACATCATGACAGAACAGAGCATGATAAGTTACCATGTCTTGACATATCAGAGCACAATATCAGCCAGCATCACATAACACGCCACAGCATAACATAACAAAGTGATGTATGGCAGAGCGGAGACTACAGAGCATACCATACCATCACACATCGTAACATATTAGGGCAGACCAACACATAACAATGAACCAGCGCATCATACCATGATATAACACGGCGTCACAAATCATACATGAATCTAGCATGGCAACTCATACCATGTCGGAACACTGACACTTACATACTAAGACAAAAGAGCGTCAGACGATAATACACCATGACATAGCATAGCGCCGCAGGGATCTCATGCCACATTATATCATACAACAACATATCCGAAACAAAACACATACAAAGCCATGCCATGACATATGACATGATCGAGCATTACATGACAGTATGTCATGACTTTTCGCAGCATGACAAACCAACATTGTTGCACGACTGGTATCACGATGGCGACGTACACATTACACCGTCATGCACTACAGTATCACATACGGAAGAGAAACATCATTGCATAACACAGCATACCATGAACTAATAAACATGGCGCAGTACAACGAGCATGATAGCATAAACATGTACCGTAGCACGCCGTGAACTAAAACACATGCACCATAGCAGAATGCTGACCTATCAACCCACCAGAGTACAACAAAACATCCCGACTCGTCAAATGACAAAGCTGAACATAAAACTGCACACTTCACCATAATCGAACGATTCGCCACCGAAGCGGAACAACAAAACACCATCGGCCGTACCGTGATATCCGCCGTCGCGCCTGCAGCGGCTGGTGTGCGCCGGGCCCTCTTGCCCCTCCCCTGGCGCATGGACCCCAAGATGCGTCCACTCCTGGGGCCACGTCCCTGCAGACAGTGGCCCCAAATGTCGAGTCCGCGGAGAGGGGTCCATGGCCGCTCCACCCCGCCTCCCAAGGCGCCCTCCCCCCCCCCGACCTCGCGAGCGCGGTTGGGCGGAGCCGCGCGGCAGCGCAACTGGATGCCCAACCGCCACGTGCGCGCCGAGGTCGGGCTGGACAGAGGCACGAGCAGGGCAACAGCGACAGATTGGACGACGAACCCTACGTGTCCGACGTGACAAGCGTCACGGCGTCACGCCGGCCTGTCCAGAACACCACAGAGCAGACTACAGCATATGTATATATATATAGAGAGATACCAGGATCTGACAGAAAGAGACCAGAAGTTGAAAACTGCCAGATATAGCAACGACCGAGCCATGGCGCCCTGTCGGACGCAGCATCCACGCCGACGTAAGCCTGGCCACAGGGCAAAAACAGGCGCCGCAACGACCGACTGGACGACGCATCAAACGCGAGAGGCGTCGCGGCGTCGTGCCGCCCCGTCGAGAGTACGAGAGGACAAGCCGCTTGCGCATAGAACAGAACAGAACCGACCGTCAGCGTAGAATACAGCAGAGACCGAGCAATGCCGTCCTATCATGCGCGACATGAGCGCCGAGCCCACGCTGGCCACAGAGACAAACAATAGCAACAACGACCGGCGAGGCGACACATCAGACGTGACGAGCGCCGCGACGACACGCTTGCCCGTCCAGCACAGAACAGAACAAGCCTCAATGTCATCTACTACACGGGTGCAGGATCCAAGCGAACATAATACAGCACAATCTTCTACCTCACCAAAAAAAGCATCATAACATAGTCGACCGAACCATGATATGATCAAGCGCAACTTGCGCGCCGAGGTCAGGCTGGCAACAGGAACAAACAAGCGCAGCAACGACCGATTGGACAACGTATCTACCGTGACAGGCGTCTCGACGTCACGCCGGCCCGTCCTGAACAGAACATAAGATAACACAGTGTCATCTACTGCACTGGAGCGTAATCCAAGTGAGCAGAATATAGCCTCCTCCTCCCTCCCTCCCTCTTGAACTCGTTGCAGATTTTGTCCGACGGTGCTCTGGGGTCTCGCTCACATCACGCGCTTGGGGGTTACGTTTTCGCCGAGCAGCTTGCGATCTGGCCCGGACGCCGTGCTGGCCGAGACCACCGGGCCCTGCGCGCATCGTTCGGGCAGGCGTGCGCACCGTCGGGAACAAGCGCCGACGGCTTCGGTGGGGATCGTCTGAAGCAAAATATGTTGTCCAGTCAACTGGGGCTTTCTAGGAGCATGTCCGAGCCGTTTCGGGGAAGCTGCTGGAGAGTCCCAGAAGCTTGTAGCAGATGACGCTGCGCTCTAGTTTCGCCTCCCGTACCTCGCTAAGCAGCGACAGCACCCATTGCCACTGCCTGCCTTTGCCACACGCGTCTGGCAGTTTCAATGAGAAAGCCTGGGATTATGTTCACACGCTGTCGGGATGCCCCTCGGAGCGATTGCAGCGCTGCGCACCACGTCTTCTCCCTCCAATACCTTCGCGGCCCCCTCCACGCCTGGTTGAGACCCCCGCCAGATGTCTAACATCGAAAGCAAATTGAGCCATGGCGAACTGGGGCGCCTCAGCCAGAGGCTTGAGCCAACGAATGGCAAGCTCCGTGCAGTATGTCTGATGGGCGCTTCGTGCGTTCGCTTACGACGCGCGACTTCTGCGGTCGGGAAGGTTTGCTCAACGTGCGCAGCGACGGCCCCAGCGACACGCTACAGCCAACCCTTCTAACTCATAAGACCGCGCGATAAGGATGCACGGGCCTTGGAAAGCCATGTCGACACTCTGTGAGCGGGGCGCGGACAGCGAAAGCGGCCAAGGATGGGCCGAAGGGGAAGGATGCAAGGGCACCCTTTGGGAAGGTTGTCCATCCTTGCTATGCAGTTTGACTGCATGCCTTTCAAGTGGATAGCGTGTCGCTCCGCTCCGCGGATAGGGAAGTTGGAGCCTGGGGGCATGGGACATGGTTAGACTGCCGCGCCGAGGCGTGGTGGGCCAGAACTGGCGCGCGACACGCTAAGCAAACGTTCCCGACCGCATCCCCATGCGTGCGTTGCTCACTTGGGCACGATCAGGCGAGCTCTTGAAGTCAGACCAGACCGCACACCGGACTGGGCAGCAGCTTCACCGACGAGACACGAGCCAGCCCGCCAGACCAGACAGCCCCGCCCGCCCGCAGGCGTTAGTCCAGAAGCCCAGTTGCACTTGACACGAGACGGCATGCCAACCTGCAGCTTCGGACAGCGGCCCGTCCGCCGGGCCATATGGCAACCGCGCCTCGCACAGCGCCGCTGTGGGCGGCGGCACTGGCGCAGGCGGCTCTGGTGGCACCGCCGTGGGGGGTGGCGGCGGCAGCGGCGCTGGCAGAGGAGGAACCTGCACGGCAGCTTCGGAGGCATGGGCCCCCGAGCTTTCCCCATGGTCTCGTCCCTCCTTCGCTTTCTCCCCCTGCCCTCCCCCAATTCCCGCCCACCTCACACCCCCATCATTCCTCCGTCTCCTCCGCCTCCTCCTCCTCCTCCTGCCCTCCTCCTCATGCGTTTCCTCCTCATTCCCCTCCTCGCCCTCCTCCTCCTCCTCCTCCTCATCCTCCTCTTCCTCCTCCTCTTCTTCCTCCTCCTCATCCTTCTCCTCTCCCCTCTCCTCCTCCTCCTCCTTCTCCTCCTCCTTCCCCTTCTCCTTCTCCTTCTTCTTCTCCTTCTCCTCCTGCTTGTTCGCCTCCATCTCTCCATCCCTCCCTCCCTCCCCCCCGTGCGATCGACCAGGAAGGGATATCATCGTTAGCGTCCCAGGGGCATCCTGGACCCTCTTGGGCTTCCTGGGGGGGTCTCCTGGGTCTTCCTGGGGCTTCCTGGAATCTCTTGGGGGGCCTCCTAGGGTTTCCTGGGGCTTCCTGGAGCCTCCTGGGGGTGGCCTCCTGGGGCTTCCTGAAGTTTCCTGGAGGCTACTGGGGGTTCTTGAGCCCTCCTGGTGCCTCCTGGACCCTCCTGGTGCCTCCTGGTGCCTCATGGGGCCTCCTGGGACCTCCCAGGGCCTCCTGGGGCATGATGTGTCTTCTGGTACTTTCCAACAGGGTCTGTCCCCCCCCCCACCCGGGGAGCGGGCCCCAGGCTGCTTCTGACCACGCAAGCCACTTGGGGGCCTCCGGCAGCCTTCGAAGACCTTCGGACGCCTTCGGGAGGCCCTCCGAAGTCTTCGGGGAGCCTCCGTGGACGCCCCCGCGCCTCCGGGGGACCTCTCCAGGCCTCCAACGCTCTGACCAAACAAACGGAAGTGCTTTTCGCACGTCCTGGCCTCTGGGGGGCTGTCTTGGGCTCCGTGGCCGTTAAGACATGACCCGGGACTAAGGGTCCTCGGGAAGGGGTCATGAACCCCAGGGCCCACACATCGAAATCAAACCTAGAGTTGTGGATGCCATGACAATGGACACTCGAACAATCCTATCATGGACACTCGAACGATCCTGGTGTATACACTGTTCGCTGTTTCCCTGGGACAGCGAAGAAACAGGTATACACTACACCACCCCGACGTCGTCCCCGACCCTCAACAAGCCCTGGGACTGAGAAAGAGCCTGCCACTGGTAATGTATATGTTCCAGTTTCAAACGAATGACTGCGCTGCGACAGGGAGACCTGCAAACCCGTCCCCAGAAACGCTGGATGTGGGGTGCAAACTGCCTGGACGACCTGTGCTCTTCTCAGCTGCACCGTGACTCGTCCGACGATCGAGCGGCGAAAAACGAGACGCGCCAGTGAGCATGCGACCCGTACTGATGGGCAGGGCGGACCTTGTGCCCAGCGCTCGCAGAACATGACATGCCAAATGCACACTGGAAGGTCCATCCCGAACGACAACTTGTCCCCTCCCGCATCCGGGACGAATTCCAACCAGCTAGAGCTAATCCCAACCAGCTGGTACTTGTCCAACAAAATTGGAAACATAATCTGGAATTCCTTCCTACTGGCCAAGCAACCGCAATGTACAAGTAGTGAAGCACTGCTTAGATACCCCAAAACACATATATTCTGCTTACGGGAGCACATGAATTCCAGAAGCTGGCATGATTGCCCGGGCTGGAACACATACCAGGATTATCCAGGGATGTTGCTGTAAGGTTTTATGGGTGTGAGAGTGTAAGGGCTTAAGGGTTTTAGCGCTCAAGGGCGTAAGGGCTTGAGAGCTTAAGTGAATTAAACTTGAGGAGCTAAGGGCTTAAGGGCTTCAGGATTTTCCAAGTTTGAATGTGTAAAGGCTTAGTGGCGTAAGGGTTCAAGGGCTTCAGGGTTTAGAGGGTTTGCGTGCTGAGGGGTTTGAGGGCTTCGAGGGCTCAAAGGTTTCAGGGTCCGAGGGCGTGAGGGCTTAAGGACTAAGGGTCTGAGGTCTGCAGGATGTCAGAGATTAGAGGTTTAAGGATTTGAGGGCTTACGGGTTTAAAGCCTAACGTGTCGAATGGCTTAAACGGGTTAGCCGTTAAACAATGTAAGCGTCTACGGGCTTAACATTATCAAGGGTTTAAGGGCATGAGGGCTTAAGGATGTAAGGGTTTAGCGGCTTAATTGGCTTCAGGGTTTACGGGCGTCAGGGTTAAGGGCTTAAGTGTGTAAGGGCTTAAGGGGTGTAAGGATTTGAGGCTTACAGGTTTGATGGGTAAGGATTTAAGGGGTTGAAGGGCTTCAGGGCTTGAGGGAACGAGCTGGCGAGTGAGGGGGGGAGGAGAGGAGAAGGGGGAGGAGGAGATGATGGAGGAGGAGAGGGGGGACAGGAGGAGGAGGAGGAGGAGTGGGGGCGGAGGATGAGGAGGAGGAGATGAGCGGGAAGGGAGAGGAAGCGGTGGAGAAGGAGGAGGAGAAAGAGGAGGAGAATCAAGTGAACCAGAAGATGGAGCGAACTCCCTCGCATCCCGCGAGCAACGGAACAGACTCCCCGCGAACCAGACGGCACCTGGCCAGCTCCAGGCGCAACCTGGAGTACGACGCCTCGAAGACGCATGTGGGTTTTTTCATGGAAGTTGGTTGGGATTCATACGAAAATGTCTGGAATTAGCGCCAAAATGGTTGGAATCAGTACTACCGTGGTTGGAATTGGCTCTAGTTGGTTGTAAGTTGTCCCATTTCCGTCCCTTCCCTCCACACTCCTTGTCTTAGGCCTTCGATGCGCTGCCATGCACAAGCAAGAACCAGCTCACTGCTAGATGCTGGCCTCGACTCCCAACCCTGCCTGTGCAAGCGAAAGTTTGCCAGCGTGAGCCCCGAACCGTTCGTTTCTGGCAACTTCTGTTTTGCAATCGATGTGAAGCAGCATGTATGGTGCAGCCTATGTGTTGCAATCTAGGCTGAACAATCTATGCTGTGCAATATATGTTGTGCAATCTATGTGGTGCAGACTCTGCTCCACAATCTATGTGATGCAACCTATGTTGGGCAATCTACGTGGTGCGCACTGTGGTGTGCAACGTATGTGGAGCGGTCTAGGTGGTGCAATCAACGTGGTACAATCTATGCTGTGCAACACATCTCGTGCAATCTACGTGGTGCAAATTAGGTTGTACAATTATATGGATTGACATCTGGGTTGTGCAATCTATGTTGTGCAATATGCTTGGTGCAATGTAACTGCGGCGACGAGCGGCGACGGGGCGGCGACGACGGCCACATTGCCGCCAGACCGACGGCACGGCCCAGTTCCGTACAACAGAAACTAGACAAAACCCTAAGTGCAAGCACTTTTTAGAGAAAACTGCATAAACCTAACCTTTCGGAGCTTCGCCTGGATTTTTGGGGTCGGCGCTGAGGCCCTCTGGCGGCGCCTCCTCGGACGATCGAGGTGCACACAACACCTCCCTTCCGTCCTTCCCGCAACAATTGAGGCCAGCCGAGGCACTGGTCCTCGAAGGTTTTTATAAGAACGGTTCACGACTACTCAGCCCAATTAAAAGGCCACTAAGCCAGATTTGCCCAAATGAGAGCCCAGAAGCTACCTGGATTTAAGCCGGACTAGGCGGGCGGGCTTCAACGGAATTCGATGAGACTGTGCCGGATCAGGGAGGTTCGTTACCACGGATATGCCAGCGCCGATGCTGAATGTGTAACCTCCCAGGACATGCATCCTAGCCCGAGTCCCTGGGCGCTGACCTATCCCAGGGTTTCGTTTTGTTTTCGTTGTCCCTCGTTTTGTCTTCAATCCGCCTTTCACGCAAAACGACGTCGAAATGAAAATGGCCCACGAAATCGCCAAAACACCGTTTAGGTCCAGCCCTGACCTGTCCTTCCCAAAATGCGACCAAGGCAGACTGCCGGGCAAAGACGGCCTTGACCGGCGCCGGCGTCGGCCTGCGGGGAGATCGGGACCTGCGCGGGGGGGGAGGCAGCGAGGGCGTGCTCCCGGCTGCCCAGGCTCCAAAGCGACGCCCTCGCGACTCTGCGACGGAGGCCCTCGAGACCTGAGCGGGAAGGAGGCAGCGAGGGGGAGGAGGCAGCGAGGGCGAGCATGGCGCCCTCTTGGGCATCCGCTGCCCAAGCGCAAGATCACGCCCAAGAAGCAGTGCGACACGAGGCCCTAAGCTCAGGGCCAGAATTGCACGTCCCCTGAGCACCAAAGATCTATTGTTCCCCCACGTGGCCCACAGCAGGGACTTCCGAAAGTAAGTTCTTGCTACGAGAAATCCAAGGGCACATTCGCGTAAGTATTCGGCTTCGATTGATGTACTGAGTGTCCCCTGGGCAATCGAGGGATGATAGCTGGGGCACCTGCTGGCTGGCGAGTGCCTTACGTGATGAGCCTACTGTCCGGCTCAGCATGCGCTCATCCCGATGGCATCGCGGAATAGCGCAGACAGCGTCGAGCGACGAGGTAGCTTCGCCAGTCCACGCGGGCTCTTTCATTACCAAACGAACAGATGCGCAGGTCGCTCGAAGAATGTGGTTAGAAACAGGAGCTGGAAGGAAACTCTCGTACGTTGGGTACCAGCAGGCCCAAGTCATAGGAGGCTTGAGCAGCAACTGAGCATTGAGGCAAGAAAGCGCTGAATCGGAAGCAGGGACCCCCAACAGCAATTTCCAATTCAAAAGCTGCCCTCGATCTTCATACGCCCGCCCTACGCTCGGGGCGCCCAACGAGAGAGGCCAAAGGGGGGGTCGCAGGTCATGGCCCGAGGCACGTGCGCCGCACGGCGCCGGCCAAAGGGTGCATTGAAAGGCACAGGGGGCTGACATCATGGGAGACGTGGTGGCCCCTGCCGAGGTTCATCTCCACACACCGTATCATCACCCCCCTCTTGGCCGCCCCTGTACAAGATAGCACGCGGCACACGTGCGCACACACACACACACACGCGCACACACACACACACACACACACACACACGCGCGCGCACACACACTACACACAGACACACACACACACACACACCACACACAGACACACACACACGTGTTTTGACTTTTTTCACATCTGCCACCGGACAGACTGGCATGCTCTGCGCGGTCTGGCTGGGTTTCCGCGGACTTCCGAGGGCGCTGCCACCCTTTCTCTCAGCACTCCGGCCGCGTGCGCGATGGGAGCAGAGGTGGGAGCTGGCGGACGAGGAGGAAGGAGGGAGGCACTGGGGATCGGGTCGGTAGCCAAAAAAAGGAGAGGTCGCGCCAGTGTATCGAAGAATGCCGAAACAAGCTGCGTGCAGCACATTTCACGTGTCATTTTCCCCTCCTTTCGACCGACCCGAGAGGAGGCAAAAGGATGCGGCAAATCACGCAGCGATCTCCTGGCGTTGGTTTCCGGCACTTCGTGGATCGCGGTGGGCCAGCGCAGATGCAAGAAATCCGCGCAGAGCGGCCAAAAAAAATGTTTATGTCGTTTTCTTCTTCGAAGCGCGGCGTGAATCTACCAGCCCAGAGCATGGCGTCGGGCAGGGCGCGCCGGGCTGGGCGTCGGTGAGGCGCGGGCAGGGCCGTGGGCGAGGGCGCAGGGGGCGCCAGGGGATGAGGAGCCACTGCCGTGGCCTCCTGGAGGCTACCCCCTGAGACTGGCTGACGGCCTACCAAGCCAGCCCTAACCTAACCCGAAGACCCACGTTTCGGGTTGGGTGGGGGTACGGGCTCCGCACGTGTTTTTCAGGCTCCGCACGTGTTTTTCAATGTTCCCCAACGCCGCCTCCACTGGGAATGGCTGTGGCCTCCTGGTCATACTCTTAGCGTGTGTGTGTGATCGCGGGCCCTGCGAAACCGACACCATTGACACACTAAGCAGCGCAGGGGCGCACACGCCAAGAAGGGTCAGGTGAAACAGCCCTCCGATGTAGATTTAACTAACCACGCAGGATACACGCTAAGTGTGGAACACTTAGCGCGTATAGGCGTATTTCCAACTACGCGCTGAGAACAGAAGCGGGACCGTACCCCTGAGACTGGCCGCGTGGGCATCCATCGGGCTGTGCTTGATGCGTTCGAGACCGATCGGGTATCTAGTTTACCCAACTTTGCGCCCCGCGCCCCGCGATGCGAGACGCGCGATGAACTCTCGCGCCCCAGCGCTCTCGCGTCGCCCCCCATGGAGAACTCCAGCTCAGTTCAGACCCAGACGCCCGAAGCGCGAGTATCTGCGCGCCCACGCGAATGGCCTATGGTCGTGGGTGGAAATGCGCCACCAATTGTCATGATTACATGTAAGTCGGGCCTGTCCTCCTACAGGGGGATTTTGGACGACAAATTTAAAAAAGTATAAACAAGTACCTCCAAATGATAACAAAAATACTCAAACAATCGTCCCCGCTTTTTTTTGTTATTGTCGAATATTTCCCCTGTAGAGGGAGACGCCCGAATTATAATTACATGTGCCGCCGCCCTGCGGGCAGCCGTGCTCCTCCTCGAGCGGAGCATCCGCCACGGGACCACAGGAGGAAGGGCCTGCTCCGGCACGAGCTCGACGAGCGACATCTGGCTGAGCACCGCACCACGTATCAGGCAGGGACCGACCGTCCTGGCAGTCCTGTAGGCCTACCCCGAAATATGCTTAGACCCCATTTATGCTCTGAGAACAAAAACAATGTTCTTAGAACATAAACCCGATGTGTGAATACATAACAATCCCAGCCACAAATGTTCTAAGAACATTGCGTGGAAACCACAGAAGGTTCTTAGAAGTTTGTTGGTATGCCTATAGGCACGCCAGGACGCTTCGCCACTGCCTGAACGAGGTGCAACGCAGGTTGGTCGGCAGCACTCGGAGCCTTCAGATCGGCAGCACCGGCAGGTGATGGACGACTGCCCACTCTGTCAAGTGCGCGGGAGGAGGGGCACGAAGAGGACGTCAGGCACAGCGGACCTCCGCTACACGAGAGCACAAAGCAAACCAACACAAGAAGAGGTGCAGGGGAGGAGGACGAGGAAGAGGAGGAGGAGGATGAGGAGCAGGAGCAGGAGGAGAAGAAAGTTTCGGCGGAAGAGGAAGAGGAGGAGGAGGAGGAGCAGGAGCAGGAGGAGGAGGAAGTTTCGGCGGAAGAGGATGACCAAGAAACAGAGGGGGGAAGGAGGGAGGAGGAGAGCAACACGGGAAGGAGGGCACGGAGGAAGGGCAGGCGGTAGGACGAGGAGGCCGTGGCAGAAGGAGGAGCAGGGGCATGGCCTGAGGAGTGGGAGGCGGGGCGGCCATCCGCGGCGCGATCGCCCGATCCTCGAACCCAGATCCGCGATCCTCGAGCCCCGATCGCCCGCACGGCTCGTCGTTTCGTCGTCGTCGTTGTCGTCGTCGTCGCCGCCACCGTCGTCGCCGTCGTCGTCGTCGTCGTCGCTGTCGCCTTCGTCGTCATCGTTGTCGCCGTCGCCGTCGTCGTCGCCGTCGCCGTCGCCGTCGCCGTCGCCGTCGCCGTCGCCGTCGCCGTCGTCGCCGTCGTCGTCGTCGCTGTCGTCGTCGTCGTCGTCGCTGTCGTCGTCGTCGTCGTCGTCGCTGTCGTCGTCGCTTCGTGACGCGATCGCCCGATCCTCGAGCCCCGCTCGCCCGCAGACGTCCGCCGGTGCGGGGGGGGGGGGGGGGGCACGCGCGCGGCCTCCCGGGGTTCCGCTGCTGGAGCCGCTCGGCCTCGCGGGGGGGCGGCGTGGGGGGGCGCGGAGGGTGGGCGGGCGGGTTCTCGCGGCCCTGCGGTCCGAGTTCGTCGTCGGGAGGAGGGCCTCCTCCTCCCGTGCGGCTTCGTCCTCCTCATGGACTTCGTCGTCCTCCTCCTCCTCCTCCTCTCCTCCTCCTCCTCCTCCTCCTCCTCCTCCCTCCTCCTCCTCCTCCTCTCACCTCTCATCCCCTCCGCCTCTGCCTTCCTTCCTCCCTCCCCCTCATCCTACTCCCTGCTGCTCCTCCCTCTCCTCCTCCTCCTCCTCTCCTCCTCCTCCTCCTCCTCTTCACTCATCCCTCTCATCCTCCCTCCCCCCTCCTCCTCTCCTCCTCCTCCTCCTCCGCCTCCTCCTTCTCCTCCTCCTCGTCTACTCCTCTCCTTCCTATCGGTTTCCTCATCCTCTCCTCCTCCTCCTCCCTCCTCCTCCTCCTCCTCCTCCTCCTCCCGCTCCTTCTCCTCCTACTGCTCCTCATCATCATCATCATCATCATCATCATCATCATCATCATCATCATCATCATCATCATCATCATCATCATCATCATCATCATCACCATCAGCCTGATGCCACTCATCAATATCCTCCTCCTCCTCCTCTTTCGTAGCTGTTTTTTGGCCAGGCCCTGTGACTCAAGGGCCAGAACAGCCCTCGTAACGTTTAAGCGCTCAAGTGCTGAAGCTTGCCTCCGCGGGCGCGCGTATCGGGCGCGCACCGAAGCATGGAGCGTGGAGGTTCGGCTCTTGCTGGACAGTGCTCCGAACTTCTGACCCTATGCGTAGCGCGTGCAACTTTAACGCGCTACTCTTCAAGCACTGGATATGGCTCGCGGCGTCATCAGTCTCCACGCCCGAAGCTTTAGACTGAAGGCAACCGCTGCACATATGGAGGTCGACTCCTATCCAAAGCGATAGTGTCGCTTGACAGCTCCGCGAACTGTATTGTCATACCGTCATACCGCTTGGTATTCGCATTCCTGGACAGATGCAGGCGGCTCCCTTTCTCAGAACAGGCCTCTCGCCGACAGCCACGGGCTGTGGGGCGCATGCTTTCAAGGAGGCAACTCGCTTCCCGCTGTCTCGAATTCTGCAGAGAGGGATTGGGACGGGTGGGCGTGCTGCAGCATCGCTGACGCCTCCTGAACCTGATCGGACAAGAACGGGGCGCACCGATTTTTGCCGTTTCGGCTCATGGGGGAAAAAAGGACATGGATGATGGCGACGACAAGGCGGCGGATGACGAGGATGACAGCGTGGATGACGAGGAGGGCAGCGAGGGGAGGCCGCTTCCAGTCATCCGCCACCGCGCGCCTCTGGGGACGGAGGGGGCGTGTCCCCGGGTCCATTGCCAAGTCCCTGGGGCCCTGGTCCTGCCCTGAGGAGTCTCGAAGGGGTCCAGACCCCAGCCTCTGGGCTCCGGCGCGTCTCCCCGCGTGACTTGTTCGCGCCCATCAGGGCCCCAAGACGGGCCAGGAGGGCCCCAGGAGGCCCCGAAAAGGCCAAGAGGGCCCCGAGTCGCCGAACCGATCGCTCCAAGACGCTCCGGATGGCGCCCAGGCGGCCCCAAGAGGTCTCCGCGACGCCCCAAGAGGCCTCCTTAGAGGGCCCCAAGGGGCAAAATCATGCCTTTTCTTGAGGCGTTCGAGAACTTCTGGCTTTCTCGCCTTTTCGGCGTGCCGACGCTCCAGGACGGCCCCAGAGACCCCCAAAATCGCCCAAAGACGGCCAAAGAGGCCTTGCCTCCAAGAGGGCCCCAAGACGGCCCAAGAGGCACACAAGACGGCCCCAAAATCCAAGTCTTCCGTCCCCTGAGGCCCCCGGAGGCCCCAAGAGGCGCCTAGGAGGCTCCAAGGGGCCCCCGAAAGATCCCCAAGAGGCCCCAGGAAGTCCCGAAGAGGTCCCAAGAGGCTCCAAAACGGCCTCCAACAAGAGGCCTCAGACCTGCCCCCAAGAGGCCCCCGAGAGGCCTCCCACGAAATACCAGCGACCACCCAACAGGCTTCAGACCTACAATCCAGGCTCGGTGGCGGGATGGGCCGAAGGCCATTCGATCCGCCGCCCCCTGTTGGCTTGCCGCAGGGGTGCCCGGCGTGCTAGATCCTTTCGGTTTGAGTGTTGGTTCATTTTCCAAAAGCACTCCCCTTGGGGCGTCGGCCCGTCCCGCCGGGGTCCCGGAGGGGAGCTCAATCCCCAATGTGTCCTCCAAGACGGCTCCAGATGGCCTCCAAGATGGCCACGTTGGCCCAAGATGGCCCAAGATGGCCTCCAAGTCCGCCCAAGATGATCCAAGACGGCCTCCAAGACGGCCCAAGAGAGTCCAAGATACCTCCATGTTCGTCCAAGAAGCCTCCAAGACGGCCCAAGACGACCCAAGAGCCTCCAAGAGGTCCTCAAGGAGGGTCCGAAGAGGCCAAAATCATTGATTTTCCTTAGGGTTTTGAAATATGCTGGGGTTTGCTTATTTTCGGCATTCCGACGGCTCAAGACGGCGCAAGAGGCCCCCAAGATCGCCCAAGAGGCCTCCAAGATGGCCCCATGACGGCCCAAAAAGCCCCCACGACGGCCCCAAGAGGTCCCCAGAACGGCCGCCCAAGATGGCCTCTAAGAACCCCTGATGTGCCCCAAGAGGGCCCCAAGACGACCCAGACAGGCCCCCAAGACGGCTTCCGACGGCGTCAGTCAAGCCAGGAACACCCTAAGACGGCCAAACAGAGGCCCCCAAGAAGCCCCCGAAAGGCCCCCCAAAACCCTCCAAGAGGCCCCCAGAGAGCTCCCAGGAGGCCCCAAGAGTGCCCCCAAATGCGCCCAAGAGGCCCCCTCCTCCTCCTCCTTCTCCTCCTCCTCCTCCTCCTCCGCCTCCTCCTCTCTTTTCCTCATCTTCCCCCTCCTCCTCTTCTTGCTCCCCCACGCGTTCCCCAAAGTCTGTCCAAACCGACTCGGGGAACAACTGGCCCGATAGCAAGCTCTGGCCCAGCTGTCGGCCATAGAGGCGCTTCCAAAGGGGAAGGGGGCGGCGGTGATTCGCCGGAGGCGCCTTCGATAACATCTGGCCATGCACTCTCGTCTCCTCCCTTGCCCACTCCCATTCCCAATCAGGGACAAGAAGGACTGCACGAGAGGCGGAGGAAGCAAACAAGGGCGTCCGACGACAGACTCCAGAAAACTCCGACCACTTTAGAGAATTACCAACATACTTCTGACAACCTTCCCCACGAACGACCGACATTGGCTGGACAGCCGTTGCGTCTGGCTGCCCTTCCTGCACATCCTCATCTTCCGCCTCCTCCTCCTCCGCCGCCTCCTCCTCCTCGTCAGCATCAGCATCAGCATCACCATCACCACCGCCATCGCCACCATCCATCATCATCATCATCATCATCATCATCATCATCATCATCATCATCATCAGCATCATCATCATCACCACCATCATCAGTTTCATCATCACCATCAGCATCAACATCATCAGCAGCATCAGCATCACCATCATCGTCGTCATCAGCATCAGCATCAGCATCATCACCGTCAGCATCATCGTCAACATCAGCATCACCATCATCATCAGCATCATCATCACCCACCATCATCATCAGCATCATCAGCATCATCATCTCCAGCAGCATCAGCATCAGCATTATCATCATCACGATCCCCTTGCCCCCCGTTATCCTCCTCGTCATCGTCACCTCATCATCAGCACCACCATCGACACCGCCACCACCATCACCATCATCATCAGCACCAACATCAGCGTCGTCACTGGCATCGGCATCATAACCAGCATAACCATCATCCTCATCATCAGCATCAACATCATCAGTATCAGCATGACCATCATACGCATCAACAGCATCGCCATCGTCGCCGTCATCATACGCACAGGTTTCTTGATCATCGTTATAACAATCAGCTTCACCAGCAACATCACCACCAACATCATCACCGCCAACGTCACCGTCAGCAATGCCATCATCGACATCAGCACCAGCATCATCATCACCACCACCATCACATTATTAGATAATGATTACGCTCATTATTCCAAATCGTAAGCCCCATCAGCATCAGTATCATCATCGTCGTCATCGTCACCATCATTCCAGGGGTGTTCCTTTCTCGCCTGCGTCGCCCCCTTGTACTGAGCGGATTGGGGAGGAAGGAAGTGCGGCGGGGAGGGCGGGGGGCGGGCAAGGAAGATGAAAAGGGGATTGGGTCCTGACACCCCTCCTTCACGCGCGGCATAATTCCTTAGAACCGCCTGGGCAGTTCTCGTGTCCATCCTCACATCGTACTTTATCCTCCGTCCTTCCTCGTCCTCCTCCTCCTCCCTTCACCTCCTCCTGCTCCTCCTTGTCAACATCATCCTCATCAATAGCACCATCCGCATCAGCATCAGCATCATCATCATCACCAGCAGCATCAACATCCTCAGTATCATCGTCGCCATCATCATGACCACCACCACCATCCCTCTTCATCACACCTCCTTCGTCCTGGTCTGGAAACAGGGAGGCCGCCTGGTGGGGCCGGCTGGGGCGGATGCGGGGGCGGGAACGTCGACAAGCGACCAGCACGGACTCCTTGCCGAAACTCTTCCTCGCAACAGGTTCAAATATTCGTATGGTTGAAGGCCCAGAGATGTTGTTCTGGCATAACTGGGTTGCCATGACGCAACAGTGTCGTTGAGTCGCGGTGTTGAAGTCACAGGAGTGATGTTCTGGCACGGCGTTGACGCGCGGCGTTGAAGTCCTAGGAACTGCGGTTTGGCACCATTGAGGATTCTCAAACGATTGTCTTCTCATGGGCCATTTCCCGTAATAGAAATCATTTGTTGCAGAAACCTATGAGAGAGGGCACTTGGGGGGAGGGTGTGTTGCAACCTCGTTAATGCGTCTTGGGTTTGCACTGGTCCTCCTCCTCCTCCTTCTCCTCCTCCTCCTCCTCCTCCTCCTCCTCCTCCTCCTCCTCCTCCTCCTCCTCCTCCCCCTCCTCCCAGTCCCTCGTTTCCTTCCCCCCTCCCCGCCCCCCTCATCCCCCGCCCCCTCCCCCTCATCTGGCTCCCCGTCCTCCCCTACCCTACTCCTCCCCCTCCACCCCATCTCTTTCCCCCCCGATCCCCCCCCCATCCTCCCCCTCTCTGGTTTTTTTCTTTCCCCGCCCCCCCACTCGGCGCGGGCAGCTGCTGGCACCTCTGGGTCCGACGGTGGCGTCGCGACCGCCATCAGGTCGTTCGGATGCAGGGGCCCGTCCGCGCGAGAATCTGCCTGGCACTCGAACATGTTTGGCGGCGTCCTAGCGGGCGGAGGATCACTGCCGACAGCTATGCACCGCCGCATCAGCGTGCACCACATCGCATAGGTACTGCGCAGAGCAGACGTGCAGCACCAGAGCGTTTCCCCCAACACCCTCCTTCGAGCATTGTTGTGTACTGGTTTTGCTGGACGACGAGGGCACCCGAGCGCCGGACGATGACGACGACGAAACGACGACGACGACGAGGACGAGGACGGGGACGGGAACGACGACGACGACGACGACGACGACGACGACGACGACGACGACGACGACGGCGACGACGACGACGACGACGACGACGACGTCGACGACGACGACTACGGACGCCACTGAAGGTCTTCGGAGGCCCAAGGAGGCGTCTGGCTGGAGATCTCTGGAGGCGTCTGGAGGCCCTTCGAGGCCCTCGGCGACGGCGACGAGGACGAGGACGAAGACGACGACGACGACGACGACGAGGACCACGACAGGGAGGAGACTAGTACGGGGACGAGGACGAGGATGACGATGATGACGAGGACGAGGACGAGGACGAGGACGAGGACGAGCACGACGGCAACGCCGACGAGGACGAGGTCGAGGACGACGGCCGCCTCTGAAGGTCTCCGAAGGTCCCGGAGGCCTAAGAAGGTCTCTGGAGACCTCTGGAGGCGTCTCGAGGCTGCTTGAGGCCCTCGACGACGACATCGACGACGACAAGGACGACGACGACGACGACGACGACGACAACGACGACGACGACGACGACGACGGCCGCCTCTGAAGGTCTGTGGAGGTCTGAAGAGGCCTAAGGACGTCTCAGGAGACCTCTGGCGGCGTCTGGAGGCCCTTCGAGGCCCTCTGCGATGACGACGACGACGAAGGAAACGACGACGACGACGACGACGACGACGGCCGCGACGGGGGCGAGAAGGACGAGGAGACGATGACGACAGGGACGAGGACGAGGATGGGGACGGGGACGAGGACGACGATGATGACGATTCAAGCGACGACCACGACGACGCCGGCACCGACGCCGTCGCCGACGCCGACGACAACGACGCAGACAACGGCAACAACGACGACGTTGACATCGACGACGACGACCACGACGAAGAGGACGACGACGACGATGACGACGGCCGCGAGAAGGACGAGGACGACGACGGCCGCGACGAGGGCAACAACGACGACGTTGACATCGACGTTGACGACGACGACGCCGACGCCGACGACGACGACGAAGACGAGGACAACAACGACGACGTTGACATCGACGACGACGACGACGACGACGACGACGACAACGACGACGACGACGGCAACGACGACGACGTCAACGACGGCCGCCTCGGAAGGTGTATAGAGGTCTCCGGAGGCCTCAAATATCTCCAGGGGCCTCTGGAAACGCCTACAGATCCTGCGAGGCCCTCGGACTCGATGACGAACGTTAAAGTAGCCTGCGAGCACCACAGTAGCCTGCGAGCACCACAATAGCAGTGCGGGAGACGCACTGCGGCGGGGAGTGGAGGGGGGCGTTACGTGACGGCGGGGGGGGAGGCATAACGCGAAGTATGGGCTCGAGGGTTTTAAAATGGGCTCTTGTCAATTCGTGGATCATCCTCGCGAATTGGCGACGGCTGGCATAAACGATGACCAAGAACGGCGTCGACAAGATCCCGCAACGATGGTAACAATGTGCTTCCCTCGAAGCAGCATGCAATTGGCGGGCTCCCCGCTATGAGCGACTGTGAGTGCGCATGGGTCTGAGCACGAGCGAGCCTGAGTGCTGTTGGGTATTGGCACGAGTGAGTGGATCAAAGTTTGCGTCTGCGGCCGTTCAATGTCTGTTTATGAGTTGCTCGATTCTGGGGAGGCCCGAGCTAGGTGTCTGCTGGATCGGGACGGTCATGGGACTAGGAAAACAACGTCTCCCCCGAAACGGGCGCTCAACCTGAGGGGGCCTACCCAGGAGCATGAGCAAGTATGAATGAAAGCGGCCTGAGTGGGAGCGAGTGAGGCTGGACGTGAGTAAAATTGCCACGAGCGAGCCATTGGGGATGAGTGAATACGTGCGCGGAACGATCTGAATATGACTCAGCCAGAATACGAATCTGAGCATGGGCGGCCCAGAGTATCAGAGAGTCTGAGTTTGAGTGCATCGGGGCTTGCTGAATACGTGCGGGTCTCAGGGTAAGAGGGTGAATAACAGTGAGAAGGAGGCTCGAGGGAGTGAGTGACGTGAAAACGAGACTTCATGACAAAAGCCCCGTACTCAGGGTATTGGGGACAGAGACACACGCAAGCAGAACGTAAACTCTTGGAACAAGTACAGTTGCACGCGAAAGTGACATGATAGAGTAGAGTCTTACGCGGATATTGCATGTCACTCATTGGACCCAAAGGTGCGTCGAACGCAGTGTACAGAAGACCTGCGTGCGTGTGGGCACTGACACGGGCATGCCTGTCATTGCGGTTCCAAATGCGTGCATATGTTCGCTCACCTGGGGATGTAAGCAAACGTGCGTACGCATGCATGCAAGCATGTCCAACGAATGCTATCCTTGGAACTGGTTTGCCAAGTGCCTCTCCGTATTGTAGCCCTTGGAGTTCCAGGCCAGCGCACCGAACCTCTACACCCTCGCTATCCGCTGCAAACCTTACTTCATACGTTGCCTCTTCCACTTTACCTTTCAACCCTTTTTGTTTCCCTGCGTGCCGTCGCATTCAAATTATCATCACCACATCATTTGTCTCATTCCCCCTCCCAGATCCGACTGAATCTGACTCTATGTCTCGCTGCAGCTCCCCCGCATGGCAGAGCGTGGCGGCACGACCCCTCCGGGCTCAGGGAAGCAGTCCACCCCGTGCACCAGACAAGAAGCACTGTGGGCAAGGATAGGGGAGGGAATAATCAACGGCAAACAACTACTTTCTCGGAGCTTCACGCGGATCTCTTGGATCGGCGCTGGGCCCCCACGCACTGGCGCGCGGAGCGCGCTAGGGGCGGTGCAGGGGTCGAAGCTAACTAGGGGAGCCCAGTCACGATCCAAGAAATCTGCGCGGATCTCCGAAAACTTCTGCTCATGCAGCTTCTGATGCCTCGGAACGGAAAGAAAAACGCTTCCATGGAGAGCATCGAGCGGGCGATGCGTGCTACGGAAGATGGGCATCGGCCGCTGTAGCTACACATTGGCCCCCCCGCGCCCTGCTGCCCGAGACTGCGCCTCAAGCCCGTCCCCTGGCAGGGGGGACCATCGCCTCACCGCGTGGCAGAGAGGCTGACCACATTCATCTACGTCGGCTCTTTCTCCATACACTTCTGTGGCAAGGACGGAAGTTGATCCTCATCTTCAGCTTCCTCGTTGGCTTGGCTTCCTTCGGGATTGGCCACAGTCATCGATGATCTCTGTGTGCGCCCACTGCTGCCTACAGCCAACAAGTTGCCAGAAGGCCTACTTCGGATCCCGACGGGCTCGACGCTCCTCGGCTCATTCTGCGACTCCTCCCCTGGCGCACCCTGTGCATCTGGGCCCAACTGAGGTCCGAATGCGGCATCGCTCCCCACACAGCGCTCCCCACTCCAAAAACGAAAGGACCACTCAGCATCGGATACGGGGCATCGGATCGGATCGGCACGTGCGCCGGATGGCCCTGCATCGACATGGAGTCGAAATCGATTCGGATCCGCCGCTCCAGGATGCACAGCAGCGCCATGCAAGCAAGCATCGGGCCGCATCGAATTTTCGGAAAATCGGAATCCAATCGGGTCGAACTGGCTGGAAACCGCACCGATTCGCATCGGTCGAATCGAAGGTGTACCTTGAACGAAAGCACTGCTGGCCCCAATGTCGCTGCGCAGACCTCAGGGGCAACGATTGGAGGGACCGGCTCAGGGAAGGAAACATCGAGCTGAACTCGACGATGCATCGCCGATAGACCGGCGATGGGTCCCCGCTGGCGAATCCCCGAGGTCCTGGGCAAAGCGGGCTATCGGGCCCGCAGCGGCGATCCGTGGGCGATTGGGAGCCGGCTTATTCCCCCGGAGCCCAACACCCCACTAGCGCGCGTGCTGCTTTTTCACACAGATAGTGCCCCAGCCATTAGAAAGCCGCCATCGCCAAGAGGCAACATGTTTGCGGGGAAACCAAAAGGGACCGATACCGCTGCTCCCCAGACCTCTCCTGGGGTGCGTTCTGACCGAAATTCCGCGGCGCATCCAGCGGCAACGACGAGGGCCTCATAGGAGGCCCGGAAAAGGGAAAACGGGGGAAGGGTAGAGGCATGGGTGCGTTTTCCTCCTCTGAGTGTAAATTTCGACTGTTGCACCGCTCGTGCCTGGCTCGTGCAGTGGTGCACCGCTGGCGCGCTCGCGACTCTCTGAGGACCTCGACACCGCACTGGTGCAAGCCCGCCGAGGCCCCCGACTTCAACGGGGCCGATTCACAGCCGGGGGGCGGGAGTTGACAGAGTGAGGGGGCTGAACCGAACGGTCATTCACTGTCCATGGGTGCGTGGCTGAAAAAGAATTCCGCGAAGCGGATTCTTGTTGTTTGTTGCTTGTTGTTGTCGCCGTCCCGCCCGCGACCCGCCCCGCGACCCACCCGCGACCCACCCCGCGACCCACCCGCGACCCACCCGCGACCCACCCCGCGACCCACCCCGCGACACGCCCGCGACCCACCCCGAGACCCCCCCGGCGACCCACACGCGACCCACCGGCGACCCACCCGCGGCCCACCCGCGACCCACCCCGCGACCCACCCGCGACCCACCTGCGACCCACCCGCGACCCACCCCGCGACCCACCCAAAATTTTCGGCGCCTGCGGCAGGATTCTTTTGCATTCGTTCCAGGTGGAGAACCTGCGACCCACCCGCGACCCAAACTGCGCCCGCGACCCACCCGCGACCCACCGCGACCCACCCGCGACCCACCCGCGACCCACCCCGCGGCCCACCCAAAATTTTCGGCACCTGCGGCGGGCTTCTTTTGCATTCGTTACAAAAGGAGAACCTGCGACCCACCCGCGACCCAAACCGCGTTCAGTGTACAAATCAAAATGTTCGGCGCCTGCGGCGAGCTGTTTTTGAATTCTTTCGATGTGGAGGTGGAGAACCCGCGACCCACCCGCGACCCAAACTACGTTCACTGAACAAGCCAAAACTTCGGCGCCTGCGGCGGGTTCCTTCGGCATTCGTTCCAGGTGGAGAACCTGCGACCCAAACCGCGTTCAGTGTACAAATCAAAATGTTCGGCGCCTGCGGCGGGCTGTTTTTGAATTCCTTCCAGGTGGAGGTGGAGAGTCCGCGACCCACCCGCGACACAAACTACGTTCACTGAACAAGCCGAAACTTCGGCGCCTGCGGCGGGCTGTTTTTGCATTCGCTCCAGGTGGCCCACCAGCGATCCCCCCCGCGCTGAACTTGTCAGAGCACGCAAATCATGAGGAAGAGGAGGAGGAGCAGGAGGAGGAGGAGGAGGAGGGCGCCATCGACAGGGAAGGTGAGGGCCACGAGGTCCGCGGGCTCGACGCCCGCGTCGCCCGCGCCCGCCCCCTCACTCTTATCCGCAATTGCGGGGTGCGTAATTATTTCCTCCCCTCCTTCCTCCTTCCTCCCTCCAGCCCTCCCTCCCTCCTCCCCCCTCTCCACGGTTTACCCGCAGGTCATCGCATCGTCTCCCAGATTCTACACAAGGTCTGCCAACGTCTGTAACCGAGCCGCCCGCAACGCAATCCATGACTTCAATGATTCTGCAAAGGCCTGGCTACGCCGTCACCTGCCGCAATGTTCTTGCCTATGCGCCGTCTGGGCGCGGCTCGTGTCTGCCTGTCAAGAACGACGGTGGTCCTCCCAGACGCTGCCCCTGAATTGAGCAGCGACCGACCGTCCCGGCATTCCTATAGTCCTACCACGAAATGTTCTTAGAACCCAAAAAGTACTAATAACACAAACAAGTTCTTTAGAACATAAGCCCGATGTGAGAAAACAAGACAGTCTCCATCATACATGTTCTACAAACAATTCGTGGAAACCACAGAAGGTTCTTAGAACATTGTTTGGTAGGGCTATAGGCGGGCCAGGACGCTTCGCCACTGCTTGACTGAAGGCCCCGGGGGGGCTCGCGGTGAAGGCCGCCCTGGCCCGCGCCACCTGCGCCGCGGCAAACTGGGCGCCCGCCGGCGGCGGCTCCAGCGCAGGGGGCAGCAGGGGCAGCGGGGGCGAGTCCACGTCGTCGACCGCCAGCGCCTGGGGCCAGGGGCGACGTGAGAGGGGGCGGGCATTCGCAGAGAACCGCGGGGCTTCTCAGAAGCCCGCCGGCCTTCTGAGAAGCCGCCTGCGTCTTCGGCGAAGGCCTGGGGCACCTCTCCGAAGGCCGCCGGAGGCCTTCCGAGCCTTCTGACAGGGCCCGGCCCCTCGGACGTCCCCCCTGGCTCGCCGCCGACTGGGAGGGGACCACCAGTGGGGGGGCAGCCGACGAGCGACGAGCGTGTCCATGTCCATGCTACTGCGGGCTGAGCACCGAGGCGCGATCCCATGGAGGCGCGAGCCCGTGGAAACGCTCCGCGCGGGGGGGCCTCCGCGCAGAGCCGCCAGGTATGGTACAGCTGGTCGTGGGGTCGCGGCCGAGAACTCCAGAGCGCGAGGCCGCGAACGCTTCCCGGCCACATGCAACTCATGCAAGGCCTCCGTGGAAACGATCAAGAGCGATGCAGCCTTCCGACCCTGCCGGAAGCACAGCCCCAAGGGGAGCCAAACGGATGCCCAGCACAGGCCCCGAGAGAGAGGCCCAGCAGGGCCCCGGGAGGGCCCCACAGCACGACCGCAGAAGGGGGCCCTCGGGTGGCCGCGCGAAGGGGGGCGAGCGAACGAGCAAGCGAGGCGCCGGTACAGACTCGTGCGGCGAAGCGCGTGTGCCTGTGCCCGTGTGGGCAGGGCGCGTGAGGCCGCAGCCCCTCAAAGCCCAGCAGCGCTCGGACATCGGACAGCGGACATCGGCCAGCATCGTGCACCACGTGGGCGCAAAAGGGTGGGGCCGAAGCGCCCAAGAGCTGCCAGCAAGAGCGAGGCGGTTACCCCGGAAGCGTCTTTCGAATCCCCCCCCACCACACCCCGACAGTGAAGGAGAAGGGGGGAGAGGAGGAGGAGGAGGAGGAGGAGGAGGAGGAGGAGGAGGAGGAGGAGGAGGAGGAGGAGGAAGGAAGGAGGAGGAGAGGAGGAAGAGGAGGGAGGAAGGAGGGAGAGGAGGGACGAGCTTCAGTCCCCGCCGAGAGACACCGGGAGGGGCCTGCTGGGAAGGCAGGGGGGGGGCGCCCAGGTATTGCAGGAAGTGCCGGCCCCGCGGCTCCCAGGGGCCCATGCGCCCCCCGCGCCTCCCGAGCGGAGGGGCGGCGGCCTTCTGAAGCAGGCAGCGCTTCCATCGGAGCGTTGCGTGTCCCAAGGGTGCGCTCCTGCTCCTCCTCCTCCTCCTCCTCCGCCTCCTCCTCCTCCTCCTCCTCCTCCTCCTCCTCCTCCTCCTCCTCGTCCTACTCCTCGTCCTACTCCTCCTACTCCTACTCCTCCTCTTACTCCTCCTCCTCCCTCTCCTCCTCCCCCTCCCCCTCCTGCTCCTCCTCCTCCTCCTCCTCCTCCTCCTCCTCCTCCTCCTCCTCCTCCTCCTCCTCCTCCCCCTCCTCGCACCCGTCCTCTCCCCTCCTTCAGCGCTTAGGAAGCAAGGGCCTTGGACGCCCCTTCCGAAGCTTTGCGAGCGGGGCACGGCTAAGGAAACTGGCCAAGGACGGACCGAGGAGGCAAGGATGCAAGAATGCCCTTGGGAAGGTTGCCCATCCCCACTATGCGGGTTGACTGTACTTGATGCCAGGTGTGTCGACATGTGGCCGAAGGGTGGGGGGACGGGGGGTGGGGGTCTGGGCCTGGGCCGGTGGTTCGCCGATCTGCTTTCACCAGGCAGCCCGGAGGGGGGAGCCATCTCGACCAGCCGTCAAGATCTTCCGTCCAAGACCTGATTGATCAGTGGGCGGTGGGAGAGGGTGTGACTTTCTCAGAAGGCCGACCCTCCCCCAGCTCTCTCCGCCGCCCCTGCGTCTTGGCCCCGATCGGTTGCGCACCAGGGGTCGTGTGAGATGCCCGTGCTGATTACCACCATGATGGACCTGTTTTCCACCACCACCACCACCATAACTTATGGTGGTGGTGGTGGAGGGGGAGGAGGGGGAGGAGGGCGAGGAGGAAGGGGACGAAGAGGAGGAGGAGGACGGGGAGGAGGACGGGGAGGAGGAGGAGGACGGGGAGGAGGAGGAGGAGGAGGAGGAGGAGGAGGGAGAGAGGAGGAGGAGGAGGAGGAGGATTCTCCCGCTCGCGCGCTAGCGAGCTGTCTCCGAGCGCGGCCGCGGCGTGCGCGCGCGGGGCGGCCCAAAATGGGCAGGCCCGTCCCGCGCGCTCAAGCCGGGGCGCCGCGCGTCAGACGGTGGAGTCCGTCTGGTCGCCGATGTCGGCGAGGCAGCGCCCGTCAGCCTTAGAGTGGGAGAGGAGGGAGGGGGGCAGAGAAGCTGCGGAGACAGCAGGAGCTTGCTCACAGAGAATAGAAGAAGCATTCTCCCGCTCGCGCGCTAGCGAGCTGTCTCCGAGCGCGGCCGCGGCGTGCGCGCGCGGGGCGGCCCAAAATGGGCAGGCCCGTCCCGCGCGCTCAAGCCGGGGCGCCGCGCGTCAGACGGTGGAGTCCGTCTGGTCGCCGATGTCGGCGAGGCAGCCATACCCGTGCTCAAGGACCTTGCGAAGTGACAAGGTTTTGGCGGGCGGCCGCAAGCAGGGCAGGCCAAGCGGCGGGGCCGACTTGGAGGAACGAAGCGACAAGGCGGTCGCTGGCGGTGGCGAAGAACAAGATACGAGCCCGTGCGTGCTCGGGCAGCGCAGCAAGAACTGTGGAGGCGGCGGCGGCTTGCAGGTAGCGCTCGGCACTGGAAGCTTGACGCCAGCGCCCTCGCCAGAAGACGCGGGGGACGTCTTCCGTAGCGATATAGAAGTCTGTTGCGCCAGAGCCCCGCAGACAAGCGGGCGTCAGGTTGAGCCCCTGACCTGCTTTGGCAAGAGGGACGCCCAGAGCCAAAAGCAGATGATTCCACCGAGTACGGAAGCCGCTCGCGCCGAAGGGGGCGAGAGGATCGGTGGAAGCCAACCTCCCAAACACTTGATTCAATACCTTCACCGTGCCCCGATCGGAGCAGCGAGCATGTTGCGTCGGGTACGTTCTTCTGGTCTTTGGAACAAGAATCGAAAGAAAAGCATCCCCTTCAACTTCGAGACGGTCGCATGGAAGCGACAGGTCACAGCGGCGTGACGCCAGCAGTTCGCCAGGCCTGAGGAACATCGTGAAGCCCATGAGCAGCAGGGCCGCCATCACCGGCCAGTCCCAGGCGAGACAGAGCCCGACCATGGCGCGCAGCAGCGCGCGTGGCAAGGGGGGACGGAGCTTTGGCGGCTCCGCAAGCTTCCATTGTTTCGCTACGTCCCAAGCTTCTGTCAGAAAGGCCTTCCAATGCGGATGGGCGCTTTGGATTCCCAAGATGGCATGGACCAAAATATAATGAGGGAAACCTGCATCATGAAGCCACACGCCGAAGGTCGCGAGGAAACGGGCGAGAAGTATCCCGCTTCGGTAAAGTGTGGCGGGTGGCACGCCAGTGTGTTCTGCTAACCACAGCTCGAAGGCATCAATCGATCTCGAGCGACGGTCGAGATACGCGGAGGTGAGGTGAGAATCGCGCACGAAGGGAGTGCGCGGAGGGCGAGCGGGCGCGGACGGCGCAGCCCGACTAAGCCCTTGGCCTGCGGTCGGCGCCGCGGCTCCCAGAGAGATGCAGAGGCCGCAGACGCACCACAGGATGAGCGCAGGGCGGCCAGGGCTTGGAGAGCTGATCAGCGTGGCGGCCCTCCTGCGCCTGGACGCGTAGAAGGGCGGAACGAGGGCGTCCCGCCCGTCGGTCTCGAACCCCGACGCCTCCGCCAGCATCGCCCGCGCCGAGCTGAAGGATCCGCCCATGTTACGGAAGGCACGGCGAGCCCCTGCTTCGATCTCGGCTGGCAGAGCGCCCCCTCTCTCGAGGGTCGCCCAGTCAAAAGGCGGGCGCGGCTCGGCACGCGCAGCCGCGGCTGCTTCGGCGAGCTCGGAACGAGCTGCCGAGGACGTGAAGCCCGAATGATGTGGAACGGGCACCACCTCCGCGAAGGCGTCGAGGATCTCGGACGGAGGGGAGTGGGATCCCCACAGCGCTGCTGGGATGGCGCCGTGACTGTCCTGCACATGGTACAGAAGGTCGAAAAGGCAGGCCAATTTGCCCGCGCGCCGCCGCTGCTCGATCTTTGAGCCGAGCCCGATGCCACGGATGGCGCCCGCCCCCATGGCTTGGAGGTCAGCATGCGCGGGGATAACCTCGGGCTCGACGACGGCCACGTAAGGATGCAACCGCGAGGCCTCGTCGATCGGCTCGGCGCCGCCTGTCAGAAACAGGCGCTTGTAGGCGTGCAAGGCCCGCAGGAGGCAGTGCAAGTCATCCTTGCCCTCGGGCTCGGCGGCCCCTGCGGGTGCGAAAGACCTCAGCCACGACGCCGCGCTCTGGAAGGCAGCTTGCCAGGCGGGTCCCCACCTCACCACAGTGATCTTCTCACCGCCGATATTGAGGCGCCACGCTAGGGCGCTGGCGGCCCCTGGAGGCAAGGGCTGCTCAGCGGCCGCAGAGGCCGTGCGCCGCGCTGCGAAGGCTGCAGCCGCGGCGCTTCCAGCGTCACCGCTGTGAGAGCCGCTGAGATGCAGCTCGGGCTCTGAAGCTCGGCCAAGCGCGAAGCCACTCGAAGACCCCCCTTCCTCGGCGGCACGCCCTCCTCCCTGCGGGGCCGCAACAGCATCGCTGGAAGAGCGCATGCCTACCGAAGTCGGAGGGGCCTGAGCAGCGGAGTCCGCGCGGGAGCTGCCTGCGAAGGCGACGTCCGAGCTCGCACCATGGCGGGGCGTGGCTGGCTGCTGCGAAGTGGCGGGGCTCGGGCGACGCTTCGGAGCGACTCGAGGGGAGCGCACCTCGCGACGCCCAGGCGACGTCGCCTGACGCGAAGGCGCACGAGAGGAGTCGCGCGCGTTCGCTCGACTAAGCCCCTGGCCGGCGGCCGACCCGCGGGATCGCGACGCCGCACGCCCACCAGAGTGGTGACGGGGTGGTGGCGGCGGCGGGGGGACGGGCCGCGGCGTCTCGGAGCCT